CAGCAGGTATATCTCACTGGTCATCCCCAAAGCCAACACCTCCTTTGGCCGCCATTCCTTCCAGTTCTCTGCTGCCAATGACTGGAACGAACTGTAAAAATCTCTGAAGCTGGAGACTCTTATCTCCCTCACTAACTTTAAGCGTCAGTTGTCAGAACAGCTTACCGATCACTGTACCTGTACACAGCCATTCTGAAATTAGCCCACCCAACTACCTCATCCCCATATTGTTATTTATTTTGCTAATTTGAACCCCAGTATCTCTATTTGCACATCATCTTTTGCACATCTATCATTCCAGTGTTAATACGAAATTGTAACTATTTTTGCACTATGGCCTATTTATTGCCTTACCTCCACACTGTATATATATTTCTGTTGTATTTTTGACTTTATGTTTTGTTTACCCCATATGTAACTCTGTGTTGTTGTTTTCATCGCACTGCTTTGCTTTATATTGGCCAGGTCACAGTTGTAAATGAGAACTTGTTCTCAACTGGCTTACCTGGTTAAATAAATAAAAATAAATAGTCTCCCAGTCCCTGCTGCTGAAAAACATCCCCACGGCATGATGCTGCCACCACCATGCTTCACCGTAGGGATGGTGCCAGGTTTCCTCCAGATGTGATGCTTGGCATTCAGCACAAAGAAAACAGAGAATCTTGTTTCTCATGGTCTGAGAGTCTTTAGGTGCCTTTTGGTAAACTCCAAGCGGGCTGTCATGTGCCTTTTACTGAGGAGTGGCTTCTGTCTGGCGACTCTACCATATCGGCCTGATTGGTGGAGTGCTGCAGAGATGGTTCTCCCATCTCCACAGAGGAACTCTAGAGCTCTGTCAGAGTGACCATCGGGTTCTTGGTCACCTCCCTGACCAAGGCCCTTCTCCCACGATTGCTCAGTTTGGCCGGGCGACCAGCTCTGGTTCCAAACTTCTTCCATTTAAGAATGATGGAGGCCACTGTGTTCTTGGGGACCTTCAATGCTACCCTTCTCCTTATCTGTGCCTTGACACAATCCTGTCTCGGAGCTCTACGGACAATTCCTTCGACCTCATGGCTTGGTTTTTGCTCTGATATGCACTGTCAACCGTGGGACCTTACAGTTGAAGTCGGAAGTTTACATACACTTAGGTTGGAGTCATTATACTTGTTTTTCAGTTTTGGCAAGTCGGTTAGGACATCTACTTTGTGCATGACACAAGTAATTTTTCCAACAATTGTTTACAGACAGATTATTTCACTTATAATTCACTGTATCACAATTCCAGTGGTTCAGAAGTTTACATACACTAAATTGACTGTGCTTTTAAACATCATGAGGAAGGAAAATTATGTGGATATATTGAAGCAACATCTCAAGACATCAGTCAGGAAGTTAAAGCTTGGTCGCAAATGAGTCTTCCAAATGGACAATGACCCCAAGCATACTTCCAAAGTTGTGGCAAAATGGCTTAAGGACAGCAAATGTTTACATCCATTTTACAATAAAGCTGTGACATAATAAAATGTGGAAAAAGTCAAGGGGTCTGAAACACTTTCCGAAGGCACTCTAGATGTAAGCTCTTTCTGAGACCCTGCCAGATAATTAGTGAAAGTAGGTTTGAGATGGTATTGATCAAGCCTCCCCCTTTTGGAGAGGGCCTTCAGAAAGAGCTTGCATCTAGAGGGCCTTCAGAAAGTATTTCAGACGAAGCAAAAACAGGTTTAGAAATATTTGCAAATGTATTAAAAATAAAAACAGAAATGCCTTATTTACATAAGTATTCAGACCCTTTGCTATGAGACTCGAAATTGAGTTCAGGTGTATCCTGTTTCCATTGATCTTGAGTTCATCAGAACAAGATGACAATATGTATGTATGCCATATTGACATTTACACTCTTCAGTGTATGCATTCAACAGCATAAAATAACGGAATGTGCATGATTTGTATTTTTTCTGTCTTTCTAATTTGACGCAATGTCCATGACTCTTGAATTAATCTAAGTAACATAATTAAAAAAATACCAATCAAAATCTGTCAGTTTAAGCTAGAGACATCTGCATGGGTTCTGTTTTAATCCACCACATCCTCCTATGTCTGCCTTCCTCATCTGCGGTGGAAGGTGGCCGAGCTACAGTGGTGTTTGTCAGACCATGAGACATCCCAAAAATAAATATTCTCATGAAAACAACTGTAGCGTATATGGAAAGATGAGACTCACGAACACCGTTTTGCTCTACGACCCCCACAAGTATCACGGGACTCGTCTGACGGTAACCCGTACAAACGAATGGACGTATGGTGGTAGTTTTGTGCCAACAAAAATTAGGAGTTAAATATGTGTCCAAAAAACCTTTCCTATATCTCCAAATTCAATATTTTATTAAATACTTTATTAGTTATTGATACCTAAAGGGTCCTAAAGTTGAAAATAAAATAGGTAACTGATCCATGGTATGATCTTAAAACAATTCCATATGTTATCTTAGTAGAACCCCTGCCCTCCACAATGGCTGTCACGATCGTCTATGAAGTAGGACCAAAGCGCAGCGTTGGTAGCGAACATATTGACTTTAATGCAATACACGAGAATACAAAACAAAACACGATCATGAAGTCCTCAGTGACAACGACTGAACATAGAACAAAAACCCACAACCCCAAGGTGAACAATGACAGTTTAAATATGGCTCCCAATCAGAGATAACGAGCCGACAGCTGACACTCGTTACCACTGATTGGGAGTCACTGGACCAAACAATGAAACCACCAATAACAACCCAACTAATCCCCAAACACAACAAAAATGAACACACCCTGGCTCAATAATACAAAGTCCCGGAGCCAGAGCGTGACAGTACCCCCCCCTAAAGGCGCGGACTGCGACCGCGCCTCAAAGAACCCAAATAGGGGAGGGCTGGGTGGGTGTTGCTCCTCGGAGGCGGCTCCGGCTCTGGCTCCGGGCTTGACCACCATCCTACATCCATCCCCCCGTAATGGCCCCGGTCCGATCCAACCCAGCTGGCTGGATCCGGACTGATGACGCGCACCCCTAGCTTGGCGCGTGAGGCAGGGACGGACCGGACCTGGCTGACGATACGCATCCTCGGCTTGGTGCGTGGAGCCGGAACGGACCTCCTCAGGCTGACGACTCGCCTCCCTGGCTTGGTGCGCGTAGCAGGAATAGGCTGAACCAGGTTGACGACTCGCCCCCTTGGTTTGGTGCGAGTAGCCGGAACGAGCTGACCCAGGTTGACGACTCGCACCCTTAGCCTGGTGCGAGTGGCAGGAACAGTCCGGGTTGGGCCGGCGACGCACACCGTAGTTTTGATGCGTGGAGCAGGAACCGGCCGGGCTGGGCTGGCGACGCACCCCTTTGGCTTGGTGCGTAGAGCAGGGACAGGCCGGGCTGGGCTGGCGACGCGCACCATTGGCTTGGTGCGGGGAGCAGGGACGGGCCGGACAGGGCTGACGAAACGCAACACAGACTTGGTGCGGGGAGCAGGAACAGACCGAGTCGGGCTTGCGGCGCGCACCACAGGCTCCATGCGAGGAACAGGCACAGACAGGGCCGCACTGAGGACACACACCCCTGGCCCTACACGGGGATCAGGAACGGGCCGGACCGGACTGGTAACACACCCCAGTACCCTTCGCCGTGCCTCCACACCTTCCTTCCCCTTCGTGACCAGTGGCCCCCTTAACCTGGCGGCCTTTTCTGCCAACCTACTGCACTCCTCTAACCCATACTCCTGCTGCCCCGACGTCGTGAGCCCCCCCCTAAAATTTTTCTGGGGGTCTCTCCTCTCCGTGGACCAGGCCTCTATAGTCCTCTCCCAACCTTCGCTCTTCTGTCTCCACCACTCGTCATCCAACTCCTGGAAACGCTGCTTGGTCTCGTTGTGGTGGGTTTTTCTGTCACGATCGTCTATGAAGTAGGACCAAAGCGCAGCGTTGGTAGCGAACATATTGACTTTAATGCAATACACAAGAATACAAAACAAAACACGATCATGAAGTCCTCAGTGACAACGACTGAACATAGAACAAAAACCCACAACCCCAAGGTGAACAATGACAGTTTAAATATGGCTCCCAATCAGAGATAACGAGCCGACAGCTGACACTCGTTACCACTGATTGGGAGTCACTGGACCAAACAATGAAACCACCAATAACAACCCAACTAATCCCCAAACACAACAAAAATGAACACACCCTGGCTCAATAATACAAAGTCCCGGAGCCAGAGCGTGACAATGGCTTAGAGTTTGAGATGTTTTAAACTACTGGAGAAGGCATTCACAGGCATTTGTCATACTTTAAATAATGTTAATGATATGTTTATTAAATGGCACCTTTATGTGTGTGTAGATAGGAGCTTGTCAATCATAATCATGCCATATTATCATAAACAATCAAATACAGGAACTGAAATGTGGACAACAATATATATGCGTTTGGTGTCCCTATCTCTCAATCATTACCAAGGCGATAGCTTTCTGAAGAAAACGGAAAGTGTACTCATTTAGCATGAGGATAGAACATGATCAGAGGGGAGGGTTCAACTGTCCTGTGCCGTGTCTTTACTAATGTCACAGCAGCCAATAAGGCTTGTGGACCATCTCTCCAGTCATGTATAAAAAGACACCCATAACCTCTTGATTCTCACTCTTATCTGACACACAGGACGACATAAGGACATGCTATCCACAGAAGGATGATGACAAAACTGTGTCTCATAATCTCTCTTTTATTTAGAGCAGGTAAGACATTATGTTGACAAGATAAAAAATACATACTGTTATGGGACCTGTAAACGCATGAATCTGATGTGTACACTTTGATTGACATAAAAAAATGTATATTTTTCAGTGCTGTCAAAAGGTATCATTACTCAGTCTGATCTTTTGAAGACCTTCATCACTGGAGACACAGTTGATTTGAAATGCCTCATCTCTGGGACTGGTGGTGACTACTACAACTGGTTCAAACTCACAGTAGGACAAGCTCCTGTGATGATGCTATCTCTTTACCTTCACTCAAAAGATCCAACGTTCTATGGTGAGTTTGACAACAACACTCGGTTTGCTGCAGAGAACAACGGCGACGGTTTTGTGCTGACCATTTCAGATGCCAAGCCATCGGATGTGGGGATGTACTACTGTGCTGCACGTGTTTATGATTACATGATCTTTGGAAATGGTGTATTTCTGATGCATAAGGGTGAGTAACACAGAAGTTAATATGCAATGTTACTGTTTCAGGGGTTTTGCATATGGAAATGGTGTATTTCATATTTAATTAGAAGTTCATTACAACCTTGGATTTATTGGGTAAAAGGTGCAGATTCCAGGAACCAGCATTTACTTACTCAGCAGTCTGTGTCTGAGTCAGTCCAGCAAGGAGACTCTGTGACTCTGAACTGTACAATACACACTGAGACCTGTGCAGGAGAACACAGTGTCTATTGGTTCAGGCATGGCTCAGGAGAATCCCATCCAGGAATCATTTACACCCATGGAGACAGGAGTGATCAGTGTGAGAAGAGCCCTGAGGCTGGGTCTCCTACGCAGAGCTGTGTCTACAACCTCCCCAAGAGGAACCTCAGCCTCTCTGATACTGGGACTTACTACTGTGCTGTGGCCTCGTGTGGGGAGATACTGTTTGGAAACGGGACCAAGCTGGAGATCAAGGGTAGGTGATGAAACGTACATTTTTGTTTATATCTGTTCCATAATCTACCGTGTAAAACTGTATACAGTTACGGTTATTTAGATCACATTAGAAAATGTGCAATCATCCTTCTAGTTAATATATTTCTACCACCATGTTTATTTTCACAGACAATGGCGCAGACCCTCTTCTCTTACTGTATTGTCTGGGCGCAGCATTGGCTCTCTCTCTAATCCTGATCATTGTCCTGACTTGCATTATTTACAAGATGAACAAGAGAGCATGTCTGCTGTGCAGAGGTAAGTGACTTATTCATAGAAGTTGCTCTTCTTTGATATCACCATCAACAGATGTCTCAGTAATGAGAGGTTGCATCTTTATATTTTCTGTCTTTCTTTTCAGGACCCGGCTCTCAGACAAGAGGGCCAGCAGTCTCGACTTCGGATACAAGGGTAAGTACAATTCTTTATATTTTGTATTTAATGGTTCCATTAAATAATCACATATTGCGAATATAGTGAGGGAAAAAAGTATTTGATCCCCTGCTGATTTTGTACGTTTGCCCACTGACAAAGACATGATCAGTCTATAATTTTAATGGTAGGTTTATTTGAACAGTGAGAGACAGAATAACAACAAAAAAATCAAGAAAAACGCATGTCAAAAATGTTATAAATTGATTTGCATTTTAATGAGGGAAATAAGTATTTGACCCCTCTGCAAAACATTACTTAGCACTTGGTGGCAAAACCCTTGTTGGCAATCACAGAGGTCAGACGTTTCTTGTAGTTGGCCACCAGGTTTGCACACATCTCAGGAGGGATTTTGTCCCACTACTCTTTGCAGATCTTCTCCAAGTCATTAAGGTTTCGAAGCTGACGTTTGGCAACTCGAACCTTCAGCTCCCTCCACAGATTTTCTATGGGATTAAGGTCTGGAAGCTGGCTAGGCCACTCCAGGACCTTAATGTGCTTCTTCTTGAGCCACTCCTTTGTTGCCTTGACCGTGTGTTTTGGGTCATTGTCATGCTGGAATACCCATCCACAACCCATTTTCAATGCCCTGGCTAAGGGAAGGAGGTTCACCCAAGATTTGACGGTACATGGCCCCGTCCATCGTCCCTTTGATGCGGTGAAGTTGTCCTGTCCCCTTAGCAGAAAAACACCCCCAAAGCATAATGTTTCCACCTCCATGTTTGACGGTTGGGATGGTGTTCTTGGGGTCATAGGCAGCATTCTTCCTCCTCCAAACACGGCGAGTTGAGTTGATGCCAAAGAGCTCAATTTTGGTCTCATCTGACCACAACACTTTCACCCAGTTCTCCTCTGAATCATTCAGATGTTCATTGGCAAACTTCAGACGGGCCTGTATATGTGCTTTCTTGAGCAGGGGGACCTTGCGGGTGCTGCAGGATTTCAGTCCTTCACGGTGTAGTGTGTTACCAATTGTTTTCTTGGTGACTATGGTCCCAGCTGCCTTGAGATCATTGACAAGATCCTCTGGTGTAGTTCTGGGCTGATTCCTCACCGTTCTCATTATCATTGCAACTCCACGAGGTGAGATCTTGCATTGAGCCCCAGGCCAAGGGAGATTGACAGTTATTTTGTGTTTCTTCCATTTGGGAATAATCACACCAACTGTTGTCACCTTCTCACCAAGCTGCTTGGCGATGGTCTTGTAGCCCATTCCAACCTTGTGTAGGTCTACAATCTTGTCCCTGACATCCTTGGAGAGCTCTTTGGTCTTGGCCATGGTGGAGAGTTTGGAATCTGATTGATTGATTGCTTCTGTGGACAGGTGTCTTTTATACAGGTAACAAACTGAGATTAGGAGCATTCCCTTTAAGAGTGTGCTCCTAATCTCAGCTCGTTACCTGTATAAAAGACACCTGGGAGCCAGAAATCTTTCTGATTGAGAGGGGGTGAAATACTTATTTCCCTCATTAAAATGCAAATCAATTTATAACATTTTTGTCATGCGTTTTTCTGGATTTTTTTGTTGTTATTCTGTCTCTCACTGTTCAAATAAACCTACCATTAAAATGATAGACTGAACATTTCTTTGTCAGTGGGCAAACGTACAAAATCAGCAGGGGATCAAATACTTTTTTCCCTCACTGTATTTCCCTCCATTTTATAATTGTTCTTCACAGGGCCAAGATGCAGACAGTCTCCATTACGTAGCTCTGAATCTGAGCAACAAAAAGAACAGGTCTAGAAAACAGAGAAGCAACATGGAGGAACAGACGGTGTACTCTGGGATCAGACAGTAAAACAATACAACAGACGTCCATTAAACTTCAGTAGGAGGAAACATAGACGAAGAGACAATGGTCATGTACTCTGGAATTTGACAGTAGAACTGGATATATGAAACAATTTCCCCTTCATTCTAGAAAGCTCTTTAACTAGCTCTAGCTTAACTTGCTCTATATGAACGCTGCAGTAAAATGTGATGAAAACAGTGGTCAATGCTTTTTCAAATGTAATATAAAGTATACAGATTTTCATGCATTGCTTCTCTGTCAAACTCATTTTACATTTGATTTGCATTTGTAGTCCCGTGTAGCTCAGTTGGTAGAGCATGGCGCTCGCAACGCCAGGGTTGTGTGTTCAATTCCCACGGGGGACCAGTATGGAGAAAAAAAAATTACACACTCACTAACTCTTAGTCGCTCTGGATAAGAGCTACTACTAAAATGCGAAGAAAAATAAAGCATTTTCAATTGTAAACCAAATTAATTAGAATAGGTTGAACTCAACGCATTCTGTTCACACACCTCTGTGGTCATAGTGGAGGGTGTTACAGTGTCTTTCCACTATTGGAAACTAACCTTTCATAGCCTTTTAACAATGGAAGACTGACCTGCAGCAACACACTGCACTATACTTTCCTTTTCAGGGACACTGTACTATTTACACCCCTTAGTGCAACAATGGTCTCTAAACACATTGAATACAATGTAAAGGTCAACGTCTTCTTATTTATGTTAAGTCAGGTAGTCCCTTGCATCATTTTACAGTAAATAAAGTAGGCCTCTTTCAACATAATTACTCATAGTGAAAGTGGCACAACAGCCACCACCACAGAAGGAGGACAGGCCATACTCAGGCATCATGCAGTTGTAGTGGAGGAGGTTTCTTCTTTGTTTTCTCTTTAAGACATAGGCCTACTGATTGCATGACACACACACCCTCACATACACAGCAACATATTTACATGTATACTGATGTCTGTTATGAACAAAACACGAGGCTGTAGCTATCTACACTTTGATAAGGCCTGTTGGCCTTCTGCACAGGACTCTCTCTCTCTCTCTCTCCTCTCTCTCTCTCTCTCTCTCTCTCTCTCTCTCTCCTCTCTCTCTCCTCTCCCTCTCTCTCCTCTCTCTCTCCTCTCTGTGGTTTCAGCAGGATGTCTCAGTTGTGTCAGTCAGTTGTATGACATACGCTTTTGCTCTTCATGATGCCCTTTTTATCAACAATAGAACAGTATTTATATGAGGCAGTTAGTTATATATACATAGTCTACTGATATCTGTGAAAAACCACAAAAAACTATTTATTAGGTCATTTGACCTAGAGATCTGAAGTACGTAGTTAAACACAAACCATGGTTTGAAGTGGGATGTAAAGTGTCATCATCATCTGGGCCAAGAAGAAATAGCCTCCTTCTAATTATATAATGGGAGGGCTTTTATTCGTCCATACATTGGAGAATAAATAGTATATGAGATATTGTTGGCTAAGCAAAGACTACTGTCATGTTTCCTGTTTCTCTGTGTTATGAAGTGAATGTGTGGTAGTCATAGAGGCCCTAGAGGATGACAGGGTCATAACATGTGGCCAACCAGGTCCCAACTACTGTATGACTCCCTTGGACCACAATGGCAAGACAAACATTAAGTAAAGGGATCCGTTTACACTTGCTGTTGTGTCTCTTGCTTTGGGTGGACAAGCCCTCTGTTGGCCTGCTACAGTACATAGTATTGTAGACAGCATGAGCTGTAGTTAGGCCTAATAAAGGATAAATCCACAGTAGTCACATTGTTTAAAAAATAAATCTGAACATCCACATATTCAAACTTGCTATGTGATAAAGTTGTGCAACACGGAATCAAGCTGTACAACAACATGAAAGCACAGTGTGTGTTCCATTCATGGCCTACTGGGCGGCCTATCGAGTGTTCAGCCAATCAAATCTGACCATCAAAATCAGACGGTACCTGAGATCAACCAATGAACACAAACGCAAGTTTCCGTTATTTTCTGTAGAAAGACTGCATTTTACACAGGTCAATCTCGTCCCGTGAAGGAGCAGGCAAGACGAATAAGCTCCTCACCTTTTTTTAAATCTGGAAAGCATGGAAGTAACATCTAGCTCAATTGACTAATGTTATACATGTTTACTATACATTTAAAGTGCTTACTGTAAGCGTTTGGTAAATGTTTTAAATGTAGTAAATATAGTTGTTTTTACAGGTGCATCTCAAACACCAGTTATTGTTCAGCCCACTTCTTCCCAGAAAGCAAAGCTGGGAGGCAATGTGACTATTGAATGCCACATGACCAGTGAGAACATAAACTACATGGCATGGTACAAACTCACCACCGGCATGGTGCTTCAGCACATCGCTAAATCTTCTAAGTACCTGAGTGATGTGCTATTCTACAATGAATTTGATGATGGGTGATTCACTGTGATGGCTGTCAAAAACACATCGCCTCAATATTTCTGCGACAAAGTAAGAGGACATTGGGACCTACTATTGTGGGAAGATGTTCTTGAATCACATGCTGTTTGCTCATGGAACCATGTTAATGCTGACAGGTGAAAATATTACAAATACTGTATTTTTATTATACAGTTGTAACACTCTGGCTCCGGGACTTTTGTATTTGAGCCAGGGTGTATTGTGTTTTGTTGGGTTTTGGGTGATTTTCTATGTTTGCATTTCTGTCACGTTTATTTCTAGGTTTGGTCATTGACTCCCAATCGGAGGTAACGAGTGTCAGCTGTCGGCTCGTTATCTCTGATTGGGAGCCATATTTATACTGCATGTTTTCCTGTGGGCATTGTGGGTTATTGTTTCCGTTTTCAGTCAGGTTGACTGTGGACTTCACTAGTCGTGTTTCTTGTTTTTTGTGCTTTAACTAAATAAAGTACCATGTTCGTTTCACACGCTGCGCCTTGGTCTCCTTCACTCCTCGACGACGTGACAACAGTACCTATTTATATTTTTTATTAGTAATTTTCCATAACCATGCTTTTTTGTGCTCTACCATTCTTAGGCACAACGTCAAAATGCAATACACACTGAGACCTGTGCAGGAGAACACAGTGTCTATTGGTTCAGACATGGCTCAGGAGAATCCCATCCAGGAATCAATTACACCCATCAGTGTGATCAGTGTGAGAAGAGCCCTGAGGCTGGGTCTCCTACACAGAGCTGTGTCTATAACCTCCCCAAGAGGAACCTCAGCCTCTCTGATGCTGGGACTTACTACTGTGCTGTGGCCTCATGTGGGGAGATACTGTTCAGGAATAGGACTAGACTGGAGATCAAGGATAGGTGATACATCTAACATATCTGTTTATATCTATTGTATAATCTACTGTGTCAAACTGCTCACAATACTAGTTATTTAGATCACATAAGAAAACATGCATTCATTGCAAATATTACGGCATTAGATTTGACCTAGAGACTGAATTGAGTGAGTCTGTGTTTCAACCCCATAGCTCCACGGTGACGATGATGGCCTGAACTACACTGCCCTGAGGTTCACTGACAAGAAGAGTACCAATCCCAGGAGACAGAGGAGAGAACAGAGAAAGGAAGAAACCATCTACTCTGGAGTGAGTAATCAAGAAAGAATGTGAGGGTCATCCAATCAGCATCATTCTAGGTTAAGCCCCACCCCTCCTCTGAACTCCACTTTGATCTTGACTGTTCCAGTGTGAACTGGCTATTATATACATTTCTAATTTGCTGTAGGATGTCATTGCAGGGGCCTAGCTTCACCTAATACAAATGTAAAATAAAGCTGATACTAGGATGATTTCAGAAGTCTCACATCCTCAGCAATACAGGCTGAGGTTGACTGACTGCATACATTTGTTTTTGTAGAAGTGTACAACAAAATGTATATAATGATTTTGCAAATGTCTGAGCTCTTACTTTTCATGATAATGGTTGTAACATGGAAGTCTGTAACCTGCCTTTATGCTTGTGTGATAGTTCAATAAACATATTTTTACTTCCTAGTTAAATGACTTGCCCAATTCTTACCACTTATTTGCACCAGTTATCAAAGGATCACATCTTTATTTTGTCAAAAAGGTGCCAACCTCACCAGAATTCATTTCCTCCTGAAAACTTGAACTGCCTTCTACAGACATGAAGTGAGAAATACAATGTTGTCACGGTTTCGGCCGAGGCTGCTCCTCCTCCTGGTTCGGGCAGGCTTCGGCGGTCGTCGTCCCCGGAGTACTAGCTGCCACCGATCTATGTTTCATGTTCGTTTGGTTTTGTCTTGATATTGTACACCTGTGTCTTGTTAGTCCTCGTTAGTGTCCTATTTAGTTCTCGTTGTGTGTGTTTGTCTTTGTGTGTGATTGCTCTTCTGTTTTGTGTTGGAGCTACGTACTTCCCTCCAGTGTTTTGGAGAGGTTTTTCGCACATGTTAGTGCGCCGTTTGTTTGACACCTGTGTGCGCCGTTATTTCGCCTTCGGGCTTATTGTGCTTATTTTCAACGTGAATATTGCACTAAAGTCTTTTGGACTGAGCTTCTGTGTCCTGCGCTTGATTCATGCACCACACCCACCTTCAGCACCCCTGTCACGCCCTGGCTCTGGGGACACTGTTATGTTGAGCCAGGGTGTGTAATTCTATGTTTTTATTTCTATGTTGGCCTGAGTGACTCCCAATCAGAGGCAACGAGTGTCAGCGGTTGTCTCTGATTGGGAGCCATATTTAACTGTCTGTCTTTCACTTTGTGTTTGTGGTTTCTTGTTCCGTGTTCGGTCATTGATACCGTTGGACGTCACGAGTCATTTCTTGTTTTGTATTGAGTTTAAACTTTAACTAATTAAAGTATGTTTGTTCATCACGCTGCGCCTTGGTCCTCCTCCTTAGACGAGCGTGACAGAAGAAACCACCAAGATGTGACCAAGCAGCGTGTCCAGGAGCCATCGCCATGGAGATCTCTAACAGATCTCCTTCGCCTCCTCGACTGGGTCAAGCCGGATGAGGAGGAGAGGGGCTTGACATTGTGGCAGAAGGGCGAACGGCTGGCGAGGGACATGGAGACCTTGGCCACGGGTAGGAGTGAAGCCCAGTAAATTTTTAGGGGGGGGCTAACGCCGTGGACGACGGGCCAGCAGGAGACCGCGGCAGAGCGGCCCAGCGGATTGGCAGAGGAGGCCGCCAGGTTACAGGGGCCACTGGTCGAAGAGGGGGTGGATGATGTAGAGGCACGGCGAGAGGTACTGGCGTGTGTTGCCAGTCCGGTCCGGCCTGTTCCTGATCCCCACGTAGGGCCAGTGGTGTGTGTTCCAAGTACGGTCCGGCCTGTTCCTGCCACTCGCACCAAGTCTGTGGTGAGCTTCGTCAGCCCGGTCCGGCCCGCTCCTGCTCCCCGCACCAAGTCAGTGGTGCGTTTCGTCAGCCCGGCTCGGCCCGCTCCTGCTCCCCACACCAAGCCAGTGGTGTGCATCGTCAGTCCGGCACGGCCCGTGCCTGTTCCACCGGTGGCGGGTCCGGCACCGGTCAGGTGCTGCGTCACGCCGGAGCTAGAGCAATCCGCTCCACCAGTGTTCAGTTCAGCTCTGGTCAGCAGGGTCAGACCTGACCAGGGGTACTTTGGGGGGTTAGAGAAGGAGTGGGGATCATGCCCGGAGCCGGATCCGCCGCCTAGGCGGAGTGCCCACCCGGTCCCTCCCCTGTGGTACTTAGTTGGCGCGGTCGGAGTCCGCGCCTTTAGGGGGGGGTACTGTCACGCCCTGGCTCTGGGGACACTGTTATGTTGAGCCAGGGTGTGTAATTCTATGTTTGTATTTCTATGTTGGCCTGAGTGACTCCCAATCAGAGGCAACGAGTGTCAGCTGGTTGTCTCTGATTGGGAGCCATATTTAACTGTCTGTCTTTCACTTTGTGTTTGTGGTTTCTTGTTCCGTGTTCGGTCATTGATACCGTTGGACGTCACGAGTCGTTTCTTGTTTTGTATTGAGTTTAAACTTTAACTAATTAAAGTATGTTTGTTCATCACGCTGCGCCTTGGTCTGTTCCATATGACGATCGTGACAACCCCTTGACAAATGTAAAGCCCCTGTGTATGTCAAAGAGGACATATGTACCACTAGTCTCAGCCACCGACCCAAATGATGAAAAAATACAAACCAGTAACTCTGACTTTACATCATTTGAAGGGCTGCTCTAACTATGGTATGCCACAGGACACATGTTAGATTGTAGTTTTTATCACATGTTTTATGCCTGTTCAGACAGCCAATAATATCACTCAGTTCAGAGTTTCCGCCTCCTTCATAATGACTACCCGATGAGTGTCATCATATAAAAGGTGCCCCGTTGTCAGGCCCACACACTATACAGTGCAGAAAGGACATTAAAATTATGATTATATATTGGACAATATTTTTGTTTAACGCCAATTTGGGTAAGTAAGAAATATAAATGTGGATCCTTTTGAATGACCATGTAGTCTGAATAATGATAATAATGTATAATTCTGGACTATACCTTTGTCTTTGATTTATTCAGTTTGTTTGCTTCACAGGTTGTGCACTTAACAACGATGTAATACAACCAGACCCTGTGATGGTTACACACCTAGGACAAAGTGTATCACTCAATTGCTTTTGTCAACATAATTTAATGGTCAGAGTCTCTTGGTTCAAGCAAACTGTTGGACAGAAGCCTCTTCTCATGGCATCATCATATTATCGCACTCAAAAGTATTTTTATTACAACAATTTTACCAAGGACTTTGATGAGACTAAACGTTTAAGTTTGAAGAGAGGAGTTGACAGTTTTAACCTGACCATCTCCAAGACAGAGTCAGGGGACTCAGCTACATACTACTGTGGTGCTATGGAAGTGGGCGAATTCAAATTTGGAGAAGGAACTTTTTTAATTGTCAAAGGTAACTTAAGTCGATACCTAAGTGCGTTCATATAATGCTAAATTAATTAATCTACCAGGAAAATAGAATGTACACACCATGATCTTACTCACTCTCTTCAGATTCAGGGTCCAACAGCATGTCTGTTCTCCAGCAGCCTGTGTCTGAGTCAGTCCAGCTAGGAGACTCTGTTACTCTGAACTGTACAATACACACTGAGACCTGTGCAGGAGAACACAGTGTCTATTGGTTCAAACATGGCTCAGGAGAATCCCATCCAGGAATCATTTACACCCATGTAGACAGGAGTGATCAGTGTGAGAGGAGCCCTGAGGCTGGGTCTCCTACACAGAGCTGTGTCTACAACCTCCCCAAGAGGAACCTCAGCCTCTCTGATGCTGGGACTTACTACTGTGCTGTGGCCTCATGTGGGGAGATACTGTTTGGGAATGGGACCAAGCTGGACTGTTAGTGATATTTCTGACATTTCTAAAATGTCGTAACATTCTATGCCTGGTTGAACAAAAATTCCTGAATCTCCTCTATCACTGTCTGTATTTCTACAGATGGTTGTAAGGAGGACCATGTTCTCTTGGTGTACTGTCTGGGTGTAGCGTTGGCTCTTTGTGTCATCCTCATCATTGTCCTTGGTTGTGTTTTGTATAAGATGACCAAGAAAACCTCTCTGCTGTGCCAAGGTAGGCATTATCATTGCCCACAATATATGCTTAAACTGCTTGTACAGTATACATTACATGTTTTAGTTGTGAAACTGGGTAAATTCATTGTATGATGAAGATGTTGATGTTGATGATTCCTTCATGTTTGTCTAAAAGGAACGCATCCTCAGCTAAGTGGTACGGCAGTCCCCAGTTATCCTAACCACTGATCCTCAACACGGGGGCCCCTCAGGGGTGCGTGCTCAGTCCCCTCCTGTACTCTCTGTTCACCCATGACTGCATGGCCAGGCACGACTCCAACACCATCATTAAGTTTGCCGACGACACAACAGTGGTAGGCCTGATCACCGACAACGATGAGACAGCCTATAGGGAGGAGGTCAGAGATCTGGCCGTGTGGTGCCAGGACAACAACCTCTCCCTCAACGTGACCAAGACAAAGGAGATGATTGTGGACTACAGGAAAAAAAAGAGGACTGAGCACGCCCCCATTCTCATCGACGGGGCTGTAGTGGAACAGGTTGAGAGCTTCAAGTTCCTTGGTGTCCACATCACCAACGAACTATCATGGTCCAAACACACCAAGACAGTCGTGAAGAGGGCACGACAAAGCCTATTCCCCCTCAGGAGACTAAAAAGATTTGGCATGGGTCCTCAGATCCTCAAAAAATTCTACAGCTGCACCATCGAGAGCATCCTGACTGGTTGCATCACCGCCTGGTATGGCAACTGCTTGGCCTCTGACCGCAAGGCACTACAGAGGGTAGTGCGTACGGCCCAGTACATCACTGGGGCAAAGCTCCCTGCCATCCAGGACCTCTATACCAGGCGGTGTCAGAGGAAGGCCCTCAAAATTGTCAAAGACTCCAGTCACCCTAGTCATAGACTGTTCTCTCTGCTACCGCACGGCAAGCGGTACCGGAGTGCCAAGTCTAGGTCCAAAAGACTTCTCAACAGCTTCTACCCCCAAGCCATAAGACTCCTGAACAGCTAATCATGGCTACCCGGACTATTTGCACTGCCCCCCCACCCCATCCCTTTTACGCTGCTGCTACTCTGTTAAGTATTTATGCATAGTCACTTTAACTCTACCCACATGTACATATTACCTCAACTAGCCGGTGCCCCCGCACATTGACTATGCAACGGTACCCCCCTGTATATATAGCCTCCCTACTGTCACTTTATTCTATTGTATATATAGCCTCCCTACTGTCACTTTATTTTTTACTTCTGCTCTTTTTTTCTCAACACTTTTTTGTTGTTGTTTTATTCTTACTTTTTTGTTTAAAATAAATGCACTGTTGGTTAAGGGCTGTAAGTAAGCATTTCACTGTAATGTCTGCACCTGTTGTATTCGGCGCATGTGACCAATAAAATTTGATTTGATTTGATTTGAGGTATGTACCTTATGGTGAACTATTCTGAGTATGACTTTGATTTACTGTAAATTATTCTATCAAATTATCCGGTCATTTCCTGATGTCTTTGGAATTTGTTTTGCTATTCCTCTTAGGATCAAGAAGATGATGACACACTCACGTCGGTCCATTACGCTGCTCTGAATGTCATCCACAAGAAGCCAAAGACCCAGAGACAGAGGAGAGACACTGTGTATTCTGGGGTGAGGTGCCAAAACATGGACTGAAACATAGATTTACCTCCTTTAAGACTTGCATTGCTTTTTCTGTTACACACTGTGTTTTTATCATTAGAATTGTGTTACAATTGCTTGTCTTCTGTCAAACTCCTTTTTACCTTACTGTTGTGATACTGTTGTTATAAAATAAAACATTAATTCACTGTAATTTAGTTGTATTGTTTGATTTTCACTCATATTCTTCAAGTTAAACTGAGAAGTTTGTAGGGACATTGCATCCAGATTACATGTTGTGCATAATAGCATGCATAGAGGACATTCTATTGACTAACACTTTCAGTTGTCTCAAACTCTCTTTTTTAAGCTGTATCCTGCATCACATCTCTGTGGTGTTTTGAAGGCCCTAAATAGATTTTTCCACACAGTTTAACTCCTTTCTAGCCCCCAGCAATGACCGCCAGTCCTCACCACACACTGTCTTCACAGACCTCAGTGCATCAAAGCCACAAACATCCATGTTACTGAGGGCACAACTCACTCTCTTCATGAGAAAAGCCTGAACTAAAAATAGACTTCTTAGCTGAGTATATTTTGAAGAGAGCTGATATTGTTGAAAATATAATCCAAATATGACAATGTACACATTGTAACTAAGAAGTTTTCACAAGCAATACAAAATGTGAACGTGCATATGTGCAGGTTGAAGTACTGCACTTAATTTCTCTTTCAATAGGGTGCAGCAGTGTACATGAAAGAGGGCGGCAGGTAGCTTCTAATCCCCGAGCCAACTAGGTGAAAAATCTGTCAGTGTGCCCTTGAGCAAGGCACTTAACCCTAATTGCTCCTGTAAGTCGCTCTGGATAAGAGCGTCTGCTAAATGACAAAAGAAAAAAATATGAAAGTCCCCGTAACTGCCTTAATAGTAGAGATGGCAGCAAATTTTAGAATGGACAAAATGTTCAAATTAATCACAAAGAATCGTTGAAAACTTATATTCCTGTGTGTAGTCATAATAGCTGTCAAGAAATGCTCAACAAAGACAATGTTTGGTTAAGAATCTTTGACAAGGTAATTTATTACATGCATATTACACATCTGTATCATGTTATAAATCCATTTCAGAATCATAGTGTCACATGCATCAAACAGGCTAGGTAGTCATAATCACTGGATCATTAATACCAACATCAACTAAGTTATTATAAAGTGTAGCTTTGTTACCTGGAGGAGCCACACAATCACTCAAAATAAAATGGGTAGCAGAGTGATCTCTATATGACAAAGACAATGACTCGTGTTTGTGTGTACTTTTGTATTGAGTTCCAGGGAGTAGTTGAATAAGTATTGGAGAGAACCTATTTATTCAAATCATCTCTCCTCTGTAATGTGTTGTCCTCTTCTAGTTGTGTTGATAGCATGCCATTCAAAGACACCCCCAAACAACAGGTTCACAGGTTCTCTGCAGTCTTCTGTAAGCCCAAGACGAGACCGTGTCTACGCTTTGGTCAGGTGGGCTTGCTGGCTTTGTGCACACAGCAACCTTCTACCTGCTCTCTGTGTCTCTGTGTCTCTATGTGGTTTTCAGAAGGATGTCTATGTGGTGTCACTATTGTTCTCACCATCTTTACTTGTTGTTCATGTTGCCCCTGACAACTTTCAGCCAAAGCAAAAAAGTTATTTATAAAACTGACTCTAATATATATTTGTTACCTGTTTAAGGAAGCTAGGCGTATGTCGCACGTCACTACTTCACAGGAGAGACATTAAAACGTTTATTTTTATTTTTATAAAAATGTGTTTTTTGGCAGAAATGCCTTCTGGAACATGTGACCTTTATGTGCCTTAATAAGAAACGTGTATGCCATTTGTAAATAGGAATAAAGGAAAAATATTTACATCATAGTTGGTTTAGCCACAGAAAAAGCTAGCTAACATTGAACCTAGTTGGTTAGCTTTAGCTACCTGCAGATTCATACTATAGCATTTCATGCATGGTGGCTAGGTGGCTAGCTATGACAAACCATGGTTTGAAGTGGGATGCAAAGTATCATCACGTTCTAATTATATAATGGGAGGGCTTTTATTCGTCCATTCATTAGAGAATAAATAGTATATGAGATTCTGCTGGTTAAGCAACAACGTTTCCTGTTTCTCTGTGTTATGAAGTGAATGTGTGGTAGTCATAGAGGCCCTAGAGGATGACAGGGTCAAGACATGTGGCCAACCAGGTCCCAACTACTGTATGACTCCCTTGGACCATAATGGCAAGACAAACATTAAGTAAAGGGATCCATTGACTCTTGCTGTTGTGCCTCTTACTTTGGGTGGACAAGCCCTCTGTTGGCCTGCTGCAGTACATAGTATTGTAGACAGCATGAGCTGTAGTTAGACCTAATAAAGGATAAATCCATAGTAGTCACATTGTTAAAAATAAATAAGCTGAACATCCACATATTCAAACTTGCTATGTGATAAAGTTGTGCAACACGGAATCAAGCTGTACAACAACATGAAAGAACAGTGTTTGTTCCATTCATGGCCTACTGGGCGGCCTATCGAGTGTTCAGCCAATCAAATCTTACCATCAAACTCAGACGGTACCTGAGATCAACCAATGAATGCAAACTTAAGTTTCTGTCAGGGGTGCTGAAGGTGGGTGTGGTGCAGGAATCAAGCGCAGGACGCAGAAGCTAAGTCCAAAAGACTTTAGTGAATTATTCACGTAGTAAGCGAGCACAATAAGCCCGGAGGCGAAATAAAGGCGCACACAGGCGTCAAACAAAAGGCGCACTAACGTGCGAAAACCTCTCCAAACAACGGAGGGAAGTACGTAGCTCAGAACACCAAAACAGAAGAGCAATCACACACAACACCATACACACACAACGAGAACTAAATAGGACACTAATGAGGACTAACTAGACACAGGTGTACAACATCAAGACAAAACCAAACGAACATGAAACATAGATCGGTGGCAGCTTGTACTCCGGGGACGACGACCGCCGAAACCTGCCCGAACAAGGAGGAGGAGCAGCCTCGGCCGAAACCGTGACAGTACCCTCCCCCTTGACGCGCGGCTCCAGCCGTGCGCCGACCCCGGCCTCGGGGACGACCAGGAGGGCGCGGAGCAGGGCGCGCGGGATGGTCCCGGTGGAACTCCGACAGGAGAGATGGGTCTAGGATGTCCCTCCGCGGCACCCAGCACCGCTCCTCCGGGCCGTACCCCTCCCACTCCACGAGATACTGGAGACCCCCCATCCGGCGTCTTGAGTCCAAGATGGACCGAACGGTGTACGCCGGAGCCCCCTCGATGTCCAGTGGGGGCGGAGGAGTCTCTCCTATCTCACCTTCCTGGAGTGGACCAGCTACCACCGGCCTGAGAAGAGACACATGGAACGAGGGGTTAATATTCTTATATTCAACAGGCAGATGTAACCTATAACACACCTCGTTCAATCTTCTCAGGACTTTAAAAGGCCCCACAAACCGCCGACCCAGCATCCGGCAGGGCAGGCGGAGGGGTAGGTTTCTGGTAGAGATCCAGACTCGATCTCCGGGTGCGTACACCGGCCCCTCACTGCGGTGGAGATCGGCACTCGCCTTGTGACGACGGATGGCCCGCTGCAGGTGGACGTGTGCAGCGTTCCACGTCTCCTCCGAGCGCCTCATCCAATCATCCACCGCAGGGGCCTCGATCTGGCTCTGCTGCCAAGGTGCCAGAACCGGCTGGTAACCTAACACACATTGGAAGGGGGTTAGGTTGGTAGAGGAGTGGCGGAGAGAGTTCTGGGCCATCTCGGCCCAGGGAATGTACCGAGCCCACTCCTCAGGCCGGTCCGGGCAATATGACCTCAGAAACCTACCCACATCCTGGTTGACTCTTTCTACCTGCCCGTTACTCTCCGGGTGGTACCCTGAGGTAAGGCTCACCGAGACCCCCAAACGCTCCATGAACGCTCTCCATACTCGGGAGGTAAACTGGGGGCCTCGATCAGACACTATATCTTTGGGTACCCCGTAATGCCGGAAGACGTGGGTAAATAGTGCCTCAGCGGTTTGTAGGACAGTAGGAAGACCCGACATAGGGAGAAGACGACAGGCCTTAGAGAACCGGTCCACAACGACCAGGATGGTGGTATTCCCCTGAGAGAGGGGAAGGTCTGTCACAAAATCCACCGAGAGGTGGGACCATGGTCGTTGTGGAACGGGCAGGGGTTGTAACTTACCCCTGGGCAGGTGTCTGGGCGCCTTACACTGGGCGCACACCGAGCATGAGGAGACATAAACCCTCACATCCCTGGCTAACGTGGGCCACCAGTATTTAGTGCTAAGACAATGCACTGTCCGGCCAATACCCGGATGTCCAGAGGAGGGTGACGTGTGAGCCCAGTAAATGAGTCGATCCCGAATCTCGAGCGGAACGTACTTCCGACCCTCAGGACACTGTGGAGGGCTGGGGTCGGTACGCAACGCTCGCTCGATTTCGGCATCGAACTCCCACACCACCGGTGCCACAAGACAAGACTCCGGTAGTATGGGAGTAGGCTCAACGGACCTCTCCTCCGTGTCATACCGCCGGGACAGTGCATCTGCCTTACCATTCTGGGACCCAGGGATGTACGTGATTTTAAATACGAACCTGGCGAGAAACATGCTCCATCGAGCCTGGCGAGTGTTCAGTCTCCTCGCTGCCCGGATGTACTCCAGGTTCCGATGGTCAGTCAAAATGAGGAAAGGGTGTTGAGCCCCCTCAAGCCAATGCCTCCACACCTTAAGGGCCTGAACTACAGCTAACAGCTCCCTGTCCCCAACGTCATAATTTCGCTCCGCCGGGCTGAGCTTTTTAGAGTAAAAAGCACAGGGGCGGAGTTTAGGTGGCGTGCCGGACCGTTGAGAGAGTACGGCCCCTATACCGGCCTCAGACGCGTCCACCTCGACCTGAAAGGGTAATGCGGGGTCCGGATGCGCCAGCACCGGGGCCGACGTAAACAGGTCCTTCAGTCTCCTAAAGGCCCTGTCCGCATCAGCTGACCACTGCAGGCGCACCGGACCCCCTTTCAGAAGGGACGTGATGGGAGCTGCCACCTGTCCAAAACCCAGGATAAACCTCCGGTAGTAATTCGCAAAGCCCAAGAACTGCTGCACCTCTTTGACAGTGGTTGGGGTTTGCCAATTACGCACAGCTGACACACGATCCACCTCCATTCTCACCCCTGACGCGGACAACCGATAGCCCAAAAAGGAGACCGACTCCTGGAAAAACAGACATTTCTCTGCCTTGACATATAGGTCGTGCTCCAACAGCCTCCTCAATACACGACGCACCAGGGCTATATGCTCGGCTCGGGTAGACGAGTACACTAGAATGTCATCAATGTACACGACCACCCCTTGCCCCTGCATATCCCGGAAAATGTCATCTACGAAGGATTGGAAGACTGATGGAGCATTCATCAACCCATATGGCATGACGAGATACTCGAAATGACCTGACGTGGTACTAAACGCTGTTTTCCATTCGTCGCCCTCCCTAATGCGCACCAAGTTATACGCGCTCCTGAGATCCAGTTTTGTGAAAAACCGCGCTCCATGCAATGACTCCGTCATGGTCGCAATCAGATGGAGTGGATAACTGTATTTCACAGTAATCTGATTGAGACCACGGTAATCGATGCACGGGCGCAACCCTCCATCTTTTTTCTTCACAAAAAAGAAGCTTGAGGAGGCGGGAGAAGTGGAGGGCCGTATGTATCCCTGTCTCAAAGATTCGGCTATGTAAGTTTCCATAGCTTTTCTCTCCTCTTGAGACAAAGGATACACGTGGCTCCGTGGGAGCGCTGCTCCTGCCTGGAGATCAATCGCACAATCCCCCTGTCTATGAGGAGGCAACTGCGTCGCCCTAGCTTTACTAAACACGAGAGCTAAATCCCCATATTCAGGCGGAATGTGCAGTGCGGGCACTTGGTTTGGACTTTCCACCGAAGTCGCCCCTACGGAAACACCCAGACATCGCCCCTCACACTGAGCAGACCACCCATTGAGAGCCCTCTGTTGCCACGAAATAGCAGGGTTATGGGTGCTTAACCAGGGAATTCCCAGCACCACCGGGTACGCAGGAGAGTCGATCAGATACAACTGTATAGTCTCCTCATGACCCCCCTGCGCACACATCCTAAGTGGCGCTGTGACTTTTCAACCCCGACCCCAACGGGCGGCTATCTAAAGCATGAACGGGAAAAGGCTTGTCAACAGGTAGGAGAGGGATCCCTAAATCTAAACAAAACTTCCGATCAACAAAATTCCCAGCTGCGCCTGAATCTACTAGCGCCTTATGCTGGGAATGAGGTGCAACCTGTGGAAAACAAACAGGTATACAAAAGTGCGCAACCGAGAGCTCTGGGTAAGTGGGGCGTCTACTCACCTGGGAAGGCTCCCCAGTGCGTGGCCTGTTGTCTCCTCCCTCGGGGAACCCTCCCCAGCACCTGGCCGCAGTGTGCCCTCCACGACCGTACTTGGTGCAGGGGACAGGCCCCCTCGGGCTCCTCCTCCTCCTTTCTCTAGCGCCAGCACCCCCGAGCTCCATAGGGCTCGGCTCGGAGGTGCCGGAGGGTGGAATGGACGGACCCCACTCGGGATGTCCACGGGTGGCCAGCAGGGTGTCCAGACGGATGGACATATCGACCAACTGGTCGAAGGTGAAATTGCTGTCCCTGCAGGCCAACTCACGTTGAACGTCCTCCCGTAGGCTACATCGAAAATGGTCGATGAGGGCCCGTTCATTCCACCCTGCGTCTGCCGCTAGAGTCCGGAACTCCAGCGCGAATGCCTGTGCGCTCCTCCTCCCCTGTCTCAGGTGGACTAGACGCTCCCCCGCCGCTTTGCCCTCAGGTGGATGGTCGAACACGGCCTTGAAGCGACGGGAGAACTCGGCGTAGGAGATGGTGGTGGCGTCCATCCTCCTCCACTCGGCGTTGGCCCATTCCAACGCCTTGCCCGTGAGACAGGAGATGAGGGCGGAAACGCTCTCGTGTCCCGAGGGCACCGGGTGTACAGTGGCCAGGTAGAGCTCCACCTGCAGGAGGAACCCCTGACACCCGGCAGCTGTTCCGTCATACGCCCTCGGGAGCGAGAGCCGAATCCCACTGGGTTCCGGACCTGGGACTGGTGGACCGGCCGATGGGGGTGGCAGGGTAGGTGGAGGTGTGGGTACCCCTCTGGACTCCCATCGGTGCAGGGTGTTGATGACGTCCTGTAGAGCGGTCCCCAGTTGTCGTATCTGGTCATCCTGGCCGCAGACATGTTCTTCCAGCGGCTCAGGCGTGACTGTTGCTCCTGCTGATTCCATTATTAAAGGTGTGTGATTCTGTCAGGGGTGCTGAAGGTGGGTGTGGTGCAGGAATCAAGCGCAGGACGCAGAAGCTAAGTCCAAAAGACTTTAGTGAATTATTCACTTAGTAAGCGAGCACAATAAGCCCGGAGGCGAAATAAAGGCAAACACAGGCGTCAAACAAAAGGCGCACTAACATGTGCGAAAACCTCTCCAAACAACGGAGGGAAGTACGTAGCTCAGAACACCAAAACAGAAGAGCAATCACACACTACACCATACACACACAACGAGAACTAAATAGGACACTAATGAGGACTAACGAGACACAGGTGTACAACATCAAGACAAAACCAAACGAACATGAAACATCATTCGGTGGCAGCTAGTACTCCGGGGACAACGACCGCCGAAACCTGCCCGAACAAGGAGGAGGAGCAGCCTCGGCCGAAACCGTGACAGTTTCCATTCATTTCTGTAGAGAGACTGCATTTTACACAGGTCAATCTCATCCCGTGAAGGAGCAAGCAAGACGAATAAGCACCTTTCTTTTGATCTGGAAAGCATGGAAGTAACATCTAGCTCAATTGACTAATGTTAAACATGTTTGCTATATATTTAAAGTGCTTGCTATAGGCATTTGGTAAATGTTTTAAATGTAGTTGTTTTTTTCAGGTGCATCTCAAACACCAGTTATTGTTCAGCCAACTTATTCCCAGAAAGCAGAGCTTGGAGGCAATATGACTATTGAATGCCACATGACCAGTGAGAACATAAACTACATGGCATGGTACAAACTCACCACCGGCATGGTGCTTCAGCACATCGCTAAATCTTCTATGTACCTGAGTGATGTGCTATTCTTCAATGAATTTGATGATGGGTGATTCACTGTGATGGCAGGCAAAAACACATCGCCTCAATATTTCTGCGACAAAGTAAGTGGATATTGCGACCTACTATTGTGGGAAGATGTTCTTGAATCACATGCTGTTTGCTCATGGAACCATGTTAATGCTGACAGGTGAAAATATTACAAATACTGTTTTTTTATTATATAGTACTTACTTATATTCTTTATTACACATTTCCATAACCATGCTTTTTTGTGATCTACCTTTCTTAGGCACAACATCAAAACGCAAAACACACTGTGACCTGTGCAGGAGTAGTCAGTGTCTATTGGTTCAGACATGGCTCAGGAGAATCCCGTTCTATCCTGGAATCATGTACACCCATGGAGACAGGAGTGATCAGTGTGAGAACAGCCCTGAGGCAGGGTCTCCTACACAGAGCTGTGTCTACAACCTCCCCAAGAGGAACCTCAGCCTCTCTGATTCTGGTACTTACTACTGTGCTGTGGCCTCAGTCAGTTTGTGTCACACCCTGGCTCTGGGACTCTATATGTTGAGCCAGGGTGTGTTCATTCTATGTGTTCTGTTTCTATGTTGGGTGTTCTAGGTTGTGTTTTTCTATGTTGGCCTGAGTGACTCCCAATCAGAGGCAACGAGTGTCAGCTGTGGGCTGGTTGTCTCTGATTGGGAGCCATATTTAAACTGTCTGTTTTCCTTTTGTGTTTGTGGGTTCTTGTTCCGTGTTCGGTCTGTGTTACCGTGGACTTCACGAGTCGTTTCTTGTTTTGTATTGAGTTTTGTGCTTTAACTAATTAAAGTAAACATGTTTGTTCAACACGCTGCGCATTGGTCTACTTCTCTCCCTGACGATAAAGACAGAAGAACCCACCATAAAAGGACCAAGCAGCGTGTCCAGGAGCAGGCAGACTGGACATGGGAGGAAGCGCCGGGAAAGGAGATGGAGAGGTTGGCGATGGCCCAGGTGGGCAAATCGTGGTCCTGGGAGGACATGCTCGGGGGCAAGGGACCTTGGGATAGGATTAAGGCCCTGGCGAGAGAGGAGCAGCGGCATCAGCAGTGCCTTCGTCGGACGGACGAGAGGCAACCCCAAAAAAAATGTAGGGGGGGGCACACGGCATGGGCGGCTGGGCAGCAGGAGGCTGCCACAGGGCGATTTGGAGAGGAGGCCACCGGGTTAGGGGGGCCAGAAGGCAGGTTGGCAGAGCCTGGATGGAGAGCGGAACCAACTTCCCGTACTCAGGCATGGCAGCATGGGACGGGGCAGGTTCCGCGGTATGCGGAGCGGCGTACTGTGCCACGAGTGGTCCGGCATAGTCCTGTAAGTCCTGTGCGAGCACCCCGCACGTGTCGTGCGAAGGGGGGTATGCAGCCAGAACGGAGTGTGCCGGCTCAACGCTCGTGGTCTCCAATGCCTCTCCGCGGTTCCGGATATCCTGCTCCAGTGTCACGTGCTGTTATGCCAGTACGGGTACACAGCCCTGTACGTCCTGTGCGGATGCCTCACACAGAGTGTGTGAGGGTAGGCATTCAGCCGGGACGGGTTGTGGCCGCTCTTCACTCCAGGTCTCCTATCCGTCTCCACAGCCCGGTTCGGCCTGTCCCTGCTCCACGCACCAAACCTACGGTGTGTGTCGCCAGCCCAGTCCGGCCTGTCCCTGCTCCACGCACCAAACCTACGGTGTGCGTCGCCAGCCCAGTCCGGCCTGTCCCTGCTCCACGCACCAAGCCTACGGTGTGCGTCGCCAGCCCAGCCCGGCCTGTCCCTGCTCCACGCACCAAGCCTACGGGGTGCGTCGCCAGCCCAGCCCGGCCTGTCCCTGCTCCACGTACCAAGTCTACGGGGTGCGTTGCCAGCCCAGCCCGGCCTGTCCCTGCTCCACGCACCAAGCCTACGGGGTGCGTCGCCAGCCCAGCCCGACCTGTTCCTGCTCCACGCACCAAGCCTACGGTGCGCGTCGCCAGCCCGGCCAGGCCTGTTCCTGCCACTCGCACCAAGTCTACGGTGCGCGTCGCCAGCCCGGCCCGGCCTGTTCCTGCCACTCGCACCAAGCCAGGGGTGCGAGTCGTCAGCCTGGTCCAGCCCGTTCCTGCCACTCGCACCAAGCCAGGGGTGCGAGTCGTCAGCCTGGTCCAGCCCGTTCCTGCTACTCGCACCAAGCCAGGGGTGCGAGTCGTCAGCCTGGCAAGGCTCGTCGCTGCTCCACGCACCAAGCCAGGGGTGCGAGTCGTCAGTCCGGTGAGGCCCGTTCCGGCTCCACGCACCAAGCCAGGGGTGCGCATCGTCAGCCCGGTCCGGCCCGTTGCTGCTCCACGCACCAAGCCAGGGGTACGAGTCTTCAGTCCGGTGAGGCCCGTTCCGGCTCCACGCACCAAGCCAGGGGTGCGTATCGTCAGCCCGGTCCGGCCCGTTGCTGCTCCACGCACCAAGCCAGGGGTGCGTGTCGTCTGTCCGGCACAACCCGTGCCTGGGTCACCGGTGCCTAACCAGGTACCGGTCAACGGCTCCATTACGGAGCTGAAGCTAACCGCTCCTGCTACGTCCAGTCCAGCTCCAGCCAGCGGGGCCAGACCGGACCAGGGGCGCTATGGGGGGTTTGTTGGAGGGTGGTGGGCAAGGCCGGAGCCAGAACCGCCGCCGAGGAGGTATGCCCATCCAGTCCTCCCCTGTTTTGCTCTTATTGAGGCGCGGTCGCAGTCCGCGCCTTTAGGGGGGGGGGGTACTGTCACACCCTGGCTCTGGGACTCTATATGTTGAGCCAGGGTGTGTTCATTCTATGTGTTCTGTTTCTATGTTGGGTGTTCTAGGTTGTGTTTTTCTATGTTGGCCTGAGTGACTCCCAATCAGAGGCAACGAGTGTCAGCTGTGGGCTGGTTGTCTCTGATTGGGAGCCATATTTAAACTGTCTGTTTTCCTTTTGTGTTTGTGGGTTCTTCTTCCGTGTTCGGTCTGTGTTACTGTGGACTTCACGAGTCGTTTCTTGTTTTGTATTGAGTTTTGTGCTTTAACTAATTAAAGTAAACATGTTCGTTCAACACGCTGCGCATTGGTCTACTTCTCTCCCTGACGATCGTGACAGTTTGTTCATTCTTCGTTGTTGAAGTCCATGACAATTAGAAACACAGCTCCACTGATGTACTGCATGCCATGTTGACTAACACAATATCTTATAACTTACAAGATTATAGGTTTGATCAATTATTGAACTGTAATCATTAGTTTACAGAATGTAGAGTAGAAGGTGTATCCATGCTACAGCCAAGAGCCCTACCCAGCCAGTTACACCCCTACACGCTTAGAAAAAAGGGTTCCAAAAGGGTTATTTGGCTGTCCTGATAGGATAGCCCTTTTTAGTTCCAGGTAGAACCCTTTTCAAACTCGGCTAAGTGAATCGAACGAGCGTGCTCTCACGCTTCCTTAAAATACCTTTGCTTGAAAAACTAGACAAAAGTGGCAAAAGCACTTTTTGTCCGTTTTGAGACGCCGTAGCTAGTATACACTTCCTCAAGATAAAATGTCATTCATTTTGAAGTTTTTGCAGAGGAGATCTTAATCTAAGTAAGTATGTTCAGTGCAGGATTTCTCAAGTGAAAAATGTGCATGAAAACGATTAGTCTCTCATTGAATGACAACCAACACTTTATTGAAGAATCCCTACTGTTGACCAATCACAGACGAAGGGGCATAGACTTTGGCTACCGGCTTTAGCTACCGACTTTGGCTACTGACTTCGGTTTGCCTCAAGAATTTTTTGGTGTTCATGAACAACCGAAAAACCCTTGTCGAAGAACAAAATGAACAAAAACATCACAAAATGTCGACATAATATATGCACAAACTATTCCGAACTGTTTCGGCTGGAAAGCATGTGGCCGCCTTTACACTTCAGAATGTTTCTGTGAATGATAGGGAAATACACTTGACTTGTTTCATCCTGTAAGTGATTCCTCCATATACACTCGTAATGCTCCACCCCTATTCTCGCTGGCACATATCAAGACATGCTCTATGCACTACAGACCTCCTAGAGGTCATTTTGAGTATTGTAACTGTGGAATGACCTGGTAAAAATAGTATTTTTCTCTACTTTCGGTGCACTTGGTTTAACTTGACCAGTGCAATTGAGGCAAAATAATTAAAGTACACCTAAGTGTGAAAAGAATAATAGCCTACTTTTTTGAGCTAGGTCTGTCCAGAGAGGTGAGAAAACCACAAACCTTCATCAGTCCAGTCAGTAGTCTGTGTGACTCTGTACATTTACATTTACATTTTAGTCATTTAGCAGACGCTCTTATCCAGAGCGACTTACAGGAGCAATTAGGGTTAAGTGCCTTGCTCAAGGGCACATTAACGTCATTTAGCAGACGCTCTTAGCCAGAGCGACTCACAAATTGGTGCGTTTACCCTATAGCCAGTGGGATAACCACTTTACAATTTGGGGGGGGGGGGGGGTTAGAAGGATTACTTTATCCTATCCCAGGTATTCCTTAAAGAGGTGGGGTTTCAAATGTCTCCGGAAGGTGGTGAGTGACTCCGCTGTCCTGGCGTCGTGAGGGAGCTTGTTCCACCATTGGGGTGCCAGAGCAGCGAACAGTTTTGCCTGGGCTGAGCGGGAACTATGCTTCCGCAGAGGAAGGGGAGCCAGCAGGCCAGAGGTGGATGAACGCAATGCCCTCGTTTGGGTGTAGGGACTGATCAGAGCCTGAAGGTACAGAGGTGCCGTTCCCCTCACTGCTCCATAGGCAAGCACCATGGTCTTGTAGCGGATGCGAGCTTCAACTGGAAGCCAGTGGAGTGTGCGGAGGAGGGGGGTGACGTGAGAGAACTTGGGAAGGTTGAACACCAGACGGGCTGCGGCATTCTGGATGAGTTGTAGGGGTTTAATGGCACAGGCAGGGAGGCCAGCCAACAGTGAGTTGCAATAGTCCAGACGGGAGATGACAAGTGCCTGGATTAGGACCTGTGCCGCTTCCTGTGTAAGGCAGGGTCGTACTCTCCGAATGTTGTAGAGCATGAACCTGCAGGATCGGGTCACCGCCTTGATGTTGGCGGAGAACGACAGGGTGTTGTCCAGGGTCACGCCTAGGCTGACCTAGTGTACAAGAATATGCTACATAATCATAGGTGTCAACGAAAACGATGGGTGTTTCTCTAAATGCATACTATCATGCTCCGAGCACGCAAATTGGAGCACGGGAGTGTCGGAGTATCAAAATCAAAGTATGCAAAATGGAGCACGGAGGGCACTTCTTGAATGCGTACTCCGCTTGTACATATTCTGAAGCATGCATCAATGCAAGCTTCATCAGAAAGTATGGAAAGAAATATTACGCAACCACATAAAAATAAATCAACATTTCTTGAAATCAATTGCGTCCATTATTTGAGCTGAAGCGAGAGAAAATACAATCCGACTTCGAAATGAAATGTTGCCTATTCACATCTCATATGTTGCCACATAATTTTTATGTGGTTATGCCTTATCTTGATACGTTTATAAATACATGCTGTGTTCATTTTGGCATGTTTACCTGCCTACGTACTGTAAATCGCAAGCCCATGATAAGTCAATAGGGCTAACTGGTATAAAGAAGATAGCCCTTTTTGGTAAAAGACCAAGTCCATATTATGGTAAGAACAGCTCAAATAATTAAAGAGAAACGACAGTCCCATCATTATTTTAAGACATGAAGGTCAGTCAATACGGAAAATGTCAAGAACTTTGAAAGTTTCTTCAAATGCAGTCGCAAAAACCATCAAGCGCTATGATGAAACTGGCTCTCATGAGGACCGCCACAGGAATGGAAGACCAGAGTTACCTTTGCTGCAGAGGATAATTAAGTTCATTAGAGTTACCAGCCTCAGAAATTGCAGCACAAATAAATGTTTCACAGAATTCAAGTCACAGACACATCTCAACATCAATTATTCAGAGGGGACTTTATGAATCAGGCCTTCATGGTCGAATTACTGCAAAGAAATCACTTCTAAAGGACACCAATAATAAGAAGAGACCTGCTTGGGCCAAGAAACGTGAGCAATGGACATTAGACCGGTGGAAATGTGTCCTTTGGTCTGGAGTCCAAATTTGAGATTTTTGGTTTCGACCACCGTGTCTTTTTGAGACGCGGTGTTGGTGAACGGATGATCTCCACATGTGTAGTTCCCACCATAAAGCATGGAGGAGGAGGTGTTATGGTGTGGGCGTGCTTTGCTGGTGACACTGTCAGTCATTTATTCAGTAATCAAGGCACGCTTAACCAGCACGTCTACCACAACATTATGCAGCGATACGCCATCCGGTTTGGGCTTAGTGGGACTATCTTTTGTTTTTCAACTGGACAATGACCCAACACACATCCAGTCTGTGTAAGGGCTATTTGACCAAGAAGGATAGTGATGGAGTGCTGCATCAGATGACCTGTCCTCCACAATCCCCCGACCTCAACCCAATTGAGATGGTTTGGGATGAGTCGGACGGCAGAGTGAAGGAAAAGCAGCCAACATGTGCTCAGCATATGTGGGAAGTCCTTCAAGACTGTTAATAATAATAATTGCAGGTGAAGTTGGTTGAGAGAATTCCAAGAGTGTGCCAAGCTGTCATCAAGGAAAAGGGTGGCTATTTGAAGAATCTCAAATCTAAAATATATTTTGATTTGTTTAACACATTTTTGGTTACTACATGATTCCATATGTGTTATTTCATAGTTTTGATGTCTTCACTATTATTCTACAATGTAGAAAATAGTAAAAATGAAGAAAAACCCTTGAATGAGTAGGTGTGTACAAAATGTTGACTGGTACTGTAGGTAGAGTTATTAAAGAAAGCCATGAAGAACTATTAGCTAGTTACCCACAAAGAATTGACATATATTTTGCATAACATTAGTTTAAGGTCATTTTTGCCTGTTAAACTATCTGGTTAGCTACATTACTATGATTCACATATAGCTAGCTGATAGTTATGAAGTAAAACAGTTGTTTTGTGTTTATCTAGTTTTGTCTCTATTGCCATTGTCCTGGCTTGAAGACGGTTCAGTGAATGGGTAAGTCGCAAGTCCATAGTATGTCAATTGGGCTAACTGGATAGCTAGCTAACCACAAAGAATTGCTAGCTACCCACGAAAAATGTACATCTACCTTGCATAACATTAGATTTAGGTCATTTTTGCCTGTTTAACTATCTTGCTAGATAGATTATTATTATTCACATATGTAGCTGGCAATTATGAAGTAAAACGTTTTCTTTGTGCATATCTAGTTTTGTCTATTATTACCATTGTCATGGCTGGAAGAAGGTTCAGAGAATGGGGAGGTGCAGCGTGAGGTAATACAGTTGGGGGAGTGTGAATACTTCTCAAATGTAATATTTTATGCATTCTCCACACTCTCGTGCTCACAAGAATATACTCAAGAGAACGTCGTCAGAGAATGGACTCGGAGCATGAGAGTGTGGAGCATGGTAGAACGTATATTGAGAAACACCCTATGCCTACCAGTTGAACCGATCACCGTTTACCCCATTGTTGAAGTGTTGTTCAAATGGGTAGACTTTTTCCACACACGATAATCTCTTCAAAGATGATGTCACTGTGTATGATATTTCTATTTCTCAAACAAATGGGTGAGTTAAACCTTTATAATTATGTGCTTCCTAAAAAATACAAGAGGTATGTTAGTAGTATTCACAGACAATTTGAGGCATCTACATCCAACACTGGAATGGTTGTATTTTGTATAATGGCTAACATATTTGAATATGTAATGTTTTTTTTTGTGACAGTCCCAGCCAGCCCTTTGTCTATAGTGTCAGCCAATGTTGGAGGCACAGTAACTTTGCATTGTGTCAACTTAAACTGCCTGTGATTGGTATAAATGTTTTTTTAATCTATATCTCTTATCCATTTTCTATTTTCTTATTTTACAGTTTGTGCATTGACTATGGACAACAAGACCTGGTGATAGTAACTCATCTGGGAGGTAGTGTGACTCTCAATTGCTTTTGTCCATCTAGTTTGATGACCTATGTTGCTTGGTTCAAGCAGACTGTTGGACAGAAGCCTCTACTCATGGCATCATCAGTTCACACCAATCAAGATAGTTGTTATACAACAACTTTATGAAGGACTTTAATGAGACTAAACGTTTGAGTGTGAAGAGAGGAGTTGACAGCTGTAACCTGACCATCTCCAAGACAGAGTCAGGGGACTCAGCTACATACTATTGTGGTGTGCTTTGTTCGTGAACAACATTGAATTTGAAGAAGGAACTCTTTTAGTTGTCAAAGGTAACTTAAATTGCGTCTTTCATTTTGGCACTTGAGAGTGTTCATAAAATGATACATTAATTAAAATAGAATGTCCTCCATGATCTTACTCATTCTCTTGTCAGTGTTTATTGGGTCAGACATGGCTCAGGAGAATCACATCCAGGAATCAATTGCACCCATCAGTGTGATCAGTGAGAGAAGAGCCCTGAGGCTGGGTCTCCTACACAGAGCTGTGTCTACAACCTCCCCAAGAGGAACCTCAGCCTCTCTGATGCTGGGACTTACTACTGTGCTGTGGCCTCATGTGGGGAGATACTGTTCGGGAACGGTACCAAGCTGGACATCATGGGTAGGTGATACATCTTACATTTTTGTTTATATCTATTGGATACTTTACTGTGTAAAACTGTACACAGTATTAGTTATTTAGATCACATTAGAAAATGTGCAATCATCCATATAGTTACTATACTTCTATCCCCATGTTTATTTTCACAGACAATGGCGCAGACCCTCTTCTCTTGGTGTACTGCATTGGAGTAGCATTGTCTCTCTCTCTAATCCTGTTTCTTGTCCTGACTTGCATCATTTACAAGATGAACAAGAGTGCATGTATGCAGTGCAGAGGTAAGTGACTTATTCTTAGAAGTTGCTCTTCTTTGATATCACCATCTGCAGATGTATCAGTAGTGAGGGGTAAGTAGAGGATCCGGCTCTCAAACAAGATGTCAAGCCTGTCTTGTCTTTGGATGCAGGGGTAAGTAGAATTCCTTATATTTTATATTACATAAAAAATATGTGAAAATGGTTCCATTGAATAATAACAAGTAAGTAATTTTCCCCTCCATTTTCTAATTGTTCTTCACAGGCCCACGATGCAGACAGTCTCCATTATGTAGCTCTGAATCTGAGCAACAAGAAGAACAGGTCTAGAAGACAGAGAAGCAACATGGAGGAAGAGACGGTGCACTCTGGGATCAGACAGTAGAACAATAAAACAGATGTCAATTAAAATGCATGAGCTCTTAGTTAACTGTATTAGCTTTGTTATTGTAACTGTAGCTACTAATAAATGAAATGCATTGCTTCTCTGCCATGTCATATTGATTTGCTTGTGATAAGATGAATGAAGTGTTTAACAATAATCAAGACAAAGGAAGTTGAATGTATTTACTTGGGCCATACTCTTTAAGTTGTGTCGTTGAATGTGCTTTCTCTTCTCATGCCACTAACACCCCCTCACACACAAAGCAACCGATTTACAGTTACTCTGTGGTCTGTGATGAACACAAGATGAGGATGTCTCTACGCTTTGTTAGGGCCTGCTGTCCTCAGTCATTCAGAACCCTTGTCTCTCGCTCTGCTGTTTTCACTCTCTCTCTCCCTCTCTATCTCTCTTTTTATCTCTCTTTTTCTCTATTTCTGTGGTTTTCAGCCAGATGTCTCAGAACTCTTAGTACTGTATGCTATACTGCTTCCTATTCAAATTGACAATTTTTGCAACAATAAACAAACTCTTTTGTTGAGGCAGCTTATCTATACCAGGTCAACTGAAATCTGTGAAAAAACACAATGATCTATGTATTAGGTAATTTGACGTAGAGATTAGTACAGTATTCTCAATGAAACAGAAACCCTGTATCATGGGAGGGCATTCTATCCATCTATTCTACTGAGTGTAAATACTGAATGAGAGATCACTAAAAGAAGACTACTGTATTGTGTTTGCTGTGTTTGTTATGTGTTTTTCATAGATGTTTTTGGTGAGGTGAAGTGACTGTTTGGTGATAGAAGACCTAGTGGATAACAATGTCATTGCATGCATGGTCCAAAAAGTTCACAAATTTGAGTCTTTTAGACAACAGCAGCTGCAGTGATAAAGAATAAGGGAAACCGTACGTCAAAAAGTTGTGCTCTAAACTATAAGAGTCTACCTGTAGGACAATTCTGGGACTTTGGGACTCGTGCCTGAATGAGGCGTCAACAAAAATGATTTGGTCTAGTTCGACCAATCACTTATAACTCCATTGTTGAAGGGTGGACTCTTTCCACTCAAGACCCTAGTTGTGAAGAGCTGACAACTTTAAAGATGATCACACTGTGTCTGATATTTCCACTTCTTGTAGAGATGGGTAAGTCAATATTTTACTTTTCTCTGCTTATGTGATGTCCATACTTGATTTGGAGACACAAGATATCCAATTATTGTTCTACAGACACTTTGACAATCCAAAATTGTATTTGAGGTATGTAACAGCTAATATATTTTCATTTTAGTTCATGGGGTATCTTGGACTGAATCATCATCCATACATCAGGAGAGTGTTCTCATGTCAGCCAAAATTGGAGACACTGTGATTTTGCATTGCTTCCATGAAGGCGACGTGGGAATAATGTTCTCCTGGTACAAGCAAACCTTTCGAAATATTCCTCAGCTCATCTCAACCATCTATAAGTATCAGAGGAATGCAACATTTTACCATGAGTTTAAGGATAACCCTCACTTCTCAGTGGAAGGTGGACAAGGAAAGAATCACCTAAGGATCTCAGACACGCAACTCTCTGATTCAGGCAAATATTATTGTGGAAGTGCTAATGGAATCAAGTTGGAGTTTGGACAAGGAGTCAATCTTATCATAAAAGGTAAAGGGAACGTTTTTACTATGATTAATTGTTTGTAAATATGAATTCACAGATATACAGTGTAAATATGAAATATTATCTTAATCAGATGTAATCTTGAATTAATACATTTTGATTTACAACACTTGCTACAGTGATATTCTAAAGAGATTACATCTATTTAATGGCCTTCTTGTCAGGTTCAGGGTCCAGAAATATGTCTATTCTCCAACAGTCTGTGTCTGAGTCAGTCCAGCCAGGAGACTCTGTGACTCTGAACTGTACAATACACACTGAGACCTGTGCAGGAGAACATAGTGTCTATTGGTTCAGACATAGCTCAGGAGATTCCCGTCCAGGAATCATTTACACCTATGGAGACAGGAGTGATCCGTGTCAGAAGAGCCCTGAGGCTGGGTCTCCTACACAGAGCTGTGTCTACAACCTCCCCAAGAGGAACCTCAGCCTCTCTGATGCTGGGACTTACTACTGTGCTGTGGCCTCATGTGGGGAGATACTGTTCGGGAACGGTACCAAGCTGGACATTGAGGGTAGGTTAAATAGCTGTCATTGTTCTTTATATCTACTCTATAGTCTACTGTGTAGAACATACATTTACTTGCTATTCTGAGTTTCTTCTATTGCTGTTTGAATTTCAACAGGCGAGAGTGCAGACCCTCTTCTCTTGGTGTACTGCCTGGCCGTAGCATTGGCTCTAGCGTTCATCTTGATCATTGTTCTTGCTTGCATAATTTACAAGATGAAGAAGACAACATGTCTGCAGTGCAGTGGTAAGTGATTAAAAGTTGCTATTCTTTGATGTCACCATCTCTAGATGTAGCAAAAGTGGAAGACATGGCAGTATCTCTAGTGTTTTGTGTCTTTGTTCTCAGAACTGGTGTCTCAGACAAGAGGTCCTACAGTTTCCCTGTCAGATGCAGGGGTATGCAGAAATCCTTATGAGTTGCATGTCTTATACAAATACAACATTATCAGATTTGGCTTGCATTACCAAATTGTGCAAAAAGTAATACATTTCATGTCAACAAAACTATTTTGTTATTCACAGAGCCAAGATGCAGACAGTCTCCATTACGTAGCTCTGACTCTGAGCAACAAGAAGAACAGGTCTAGTAGACAGAGAAGCAACATGGAGGAAGATACAGTGGTCATGTACTCTGGAATTAGACAGTAGAACTGGTTGAATGAAACAATTTCCCCTTCATACTAGATAGCTCTGTTTAACTAGCTCTTGCTTCATTTGTTCTTTTTTTATTGGATATGCAATTTTTTTTTATGAAAACAGTGGTCAAAGGTTATTTTACAAATGTAATACAAAGTAGAAATAATTTCATGCATTGCTTCTCTGTCAGACTAATTTTACATTTGGTTTGCATATGTCAAGAAAAATAAACAATTTCCAACTGTTAAACCAAATTAATTTGAATAAGTTAAACTCAATGAATTCTGTTCACACACCTCTGTGGTCATAGTGGAGGGTGTTACAGTGTCTTTCAACTATTGGAAACAAACCTTTCATAGACCTTTAACACATGAAGACTGACCTGCAGCAACACACTGCAATCTACTTTCCCTCTCAGGGCCAAAGTACTGTTCACACCTGTTAGTGCAACATTGGTCTCTACACACGATGCTTACAATGTAAAGGTCAATGTCTTCTCATTTATGTTAAGTCAGTTAGTCCCTTGCATCATTTTACAGTAAATAAAGGAGGCCTCTTTCAACATAATTACTCATAGTGAAAGTGGCACAACAGCCACCACCACAGAAGGAGGACAGGCCATACTCAGGCATCATGCAGTTGTAGTGGAGGAGGTTTCTTCTTTGTTTTCTCTTTAAGACATAGGCCTACTGATTGCATGACACACACCCCCTCACATACACAGCAACGTATTTAAATGTACTCTGATGTCTGTTATGAACAAAACATGAGGCTGTACTTATCTACACTTTGTTATGGCCTATTGGCCTTCTACACAGGACCCTCTCAGTCTCTCTCTCTCTCTCTCTCTCTCTCTCTGTCTCTCTCTCTCTCTCTCTCTCTCTCTCTGTCTCTCTCTCTCTGTGTGGTTTCAGCAGGATGTCTCAGTGGTATCAGTTAGTTGTATGACATACTCTTTTGCTCTTCATGTTGCCCTTTTTATCAACAATATAACACTATTTTTATGAGGCAGATAGTTATATGTACACAGTCTACTGAAATCTGTGAAAAAACACAGTTAACTATTTATTAGGTCATTTGACCTAGAGATCTAAAGTCCTCAGTGAAATACAAATGATCATTATCATAATCTGGGCCAAGAAGAAAGAGCCTTCTTCTATTTATATAATGGGAGGGCTTTTATTCGTCCATACATTAGAGAATAAATAGTATATGAGATTCTTCTGGTTAAGCAACAACGTTTCCTGTTTCTCTGTGTTATGAAGTGAATGTGTAGTAGTCATAGAGGCCCTAGAGGATGACAGGGTCAAGACATGTGGCCAACCAGGTCCCAACTACTGTATGACTCCCTTGGACCATAATGGCAAGACAAACATTAAGTAAAGGGATCCATTTACACTTGCTGTTGTGCCTCTTACTTTGGGTGGACAAGCCCTCTGTTGGCCTGCTGCAGTACATAGTATTGTAGACAGCATGAGCTGTAGTTAGACCTAATAAAGGATATATCCACAGTAGTCACATTGTTTAAAAAATACATCTGAACATCCACATATTCAAACTTGCTATGTGATAAAGTTGTGCAACACAGAATCAAGCTGTACAACAACATGAAAGGACAGTGTGTGTTCCATTCATGGCCTACTGGGCGGCCTATCGAGTGTTCAGCCAATCAAATCTGACCATCAAAATCAGACGTTACCTGAGATCAACCAACGAATGCAAACGCAAGTTTCCTTTCTATAGAGACTGCATTTTACAGGTCAATCTTGTTCCGTGAAGGAGCAAAAAATATGAATAAGCTCCTCCTTTCTTTGATCTGGAAAGCATGGAAGTAACATCTAGCTCAACTGAGTAATGTTATACATGTTTACTATACATTTAAAGTGCTTACTATAGGCGTTTGGTAAATGTTTTAAATGTAGTAAATATAGTGTTATTGTTCAGCCTACTTCTTCCCAGAAAGCACAGCTTGGAAGCAATGTGACTATTGAATGCCACATGACCAGTGAGACCATAAACTACATGGCATGATGCTTCAGTACATTGGTAAATCTTCTAAGTACCTGAGTGATGTGCTATTCTACAATGAATTTGATGATGGGTGATTCACTGTGATGGCTGGCAAAAAAACATTTCATCTCAACATTTCTGCCAAAAAGCAAGAGGACAAAAGGACCTACTGTAACGTAGACGCAGGGAGTCAGGAAGCAGGTGCAGTTAGTGTGTTTAATAATAACGAACATGGAACGAAACAAATTAAGAGAAGCGTCTGACATGGAAACACAAACAATACTACCTGATGACTGACAAAACAGAGTGCTATATAAAGGGTAAGTATTCAAGGGAGTAATGAAGTCCAGGTGTGACTGATTATAGGGCGCAGGTGTGCGTAATGATGGTTGCCAGGTGTGCATAAAGGTGGGTTGCCAGGACCGGTGGTTAGTAGACCAGTGACGTCGAGCGCCGGAGCAGGAGAGTGTGAGTAGACGTAACAGTACGCCCCCGACTCGCAGCTCCAGCCGCAGGACGACACCTGCTAGGGGGAAGGCCCAGAGGGCGAGGACCGGGCTGGTCCGGACGATGAAGGTGGAATTATCGGATTATGTTGGGATCTAGGATGTCATCCACCGGAACTCAACACCGCTCCTCTGGACCGTACCCCTCCCAGTCCACCAGGTACTGGAGCCGACCCCCACGACGTTGGGAGTCCAGGTGTGATCTGACGGCATAGGCGGGGCTCCCCTCGATGTCCAAGGGAGGCAGAGGGGTGTCGTGGGGGACGGCATCAGCCAGAGGACCAGGAACCACCGGCCTGAGGAGGGAAACATGAAAAGATGGTGAGATCCGGTAGTTAGTGGGGAGTTGTAATCTGTAAATTACCTTGTTGACGCTCTGGAAGACCTATTCAGCCCAAGGAAGGAATCAAACCCACTCCCCCTGCCGGTCCTGGTTCATCCTTTCCACCTGCCCATTAGACTGAGGTCGGTACCAGGAAGTGAGGCTGACCGTAACCCCCAGCTTCTCCATGAAGGCCTTCCATACACGTGATGTGAATTGGGGGCCACGATCGGAGATTATATCCTCCGGAAGGCCATAGTGCCGGAAAACCAGCTGGAACAGTGCCTCAGTGACCTGGATAGCGGTAGGGAGACCAAAGAGAGGGATGAAACGGCATGATTTAGAGAATCTGTCCACTATCACAAAAATAGTAATAAAACTATCAGAAGAGGGGAGATCAGTGACAAAATCAATGGACAGATGAGACCAGGGACGCTGAGGCACGGGAAGGGGAAGGAGTTTCCCTGCGGGAGCATTCCGTGGGGATTTGGATTAGGCACATACGGAATAGGAGTTGACATAACGAGTGATGTCCTGCGCAAAGGTGGGCCACCAGTACTTTCCAGAGATGGACTGAACGGTGCGGGGGATACCTGGATGTCCAGTAACGACAGTTGTGTGCGCCCAGGTCAACAGCCGATCCCTTATCCCCGTGGGAACGTAGGTGCGCTCAGGATGATAGGTAGCAGGTGTGGGTTCCCTCTCCAGGGCCTGGCGAATGTCCACATCTCCGTCCCAGAGCACAGGGGCTACCTCTCGCGAGGGAGGAATTATGGGTGCACTCAAGACAGGAACCTCTCCCGAATCGTAGAGACGGGACAGGGCATCGGCTTTGATGTTTTTTAACCTGGGCTATATGTCAGCGTGAAATTGAATCTGGTGAAGAAAAGGGCCCACCTGGCTTGGCGCAACCAATGGTTGGTGAGGATGAGAAATGGGTCCTGGGTGCCCTCTAGCCAGTGTCTCCACTCCTCTAATGCCAACTTCAACGCCAGGAGCTCCCGATCGCCAGCATCATAGTTCCTCTCTGAAGGAGATAGTTTTTAGAGTAATATGCACATGGAAACAATTTATGTGGATTACCTTGATGTTGGAACAGGACAGACACCACACCTACTTCTGAAGCGTCCATCTCCACCACGAAGGGCAGCAAAGGATCTGGATGTTTGAGCAATGGAGCGGAGGTGAAACGTCCCTTCAGTAGGCAGAAGGCTTCGTCAGCTGCAGGATTCCACCCCAACTTCCGGGGACCACCCTTGAGGAGAAAAGTGAGAGGAGAGGCGATCAAGCTACATTTCTTAATGAATCAGCGGTAGAAGTTGGCAAATCCCAAAAGCCATTGTAACCCCTTTATGGTGGTTGGGACTGGCCATGACCTGACAGTATCCATCTTCTTCTCATCCATCATGACTCCTTGCGGACCGATCTGGTAACCCAAAGGGGAGACATCCTCCTGATGGAATTGGCACTTCTTCGCCTTGGCGTACAGGTGGTTGGCCAAAAGGCATTCCAGGACTACTCGGACGTGAGCGATGTGATTCTCCAAGGTAGCCTAGTAGACCAGGGTGTCATCGATATACACGACCACCTGTCGTCCAAGCATTCGTTGACGAATGCCTGGAACACAGACGGAGCATTGGCCAATCCAAAAGGCATCACCAAGTACTCGTAGTGACCAGACATCGTGTTCATCCTCCTGGAGGCGGATGAAATTGTAGGCATTCCACAGGTCCAACTTGGTAAAAATCCAGGCCCCGCTGAGTTGTTTGATCACGGCCACCACCAACGGGAAAGGGTAGCGGTACTTCGTGGTGATGGAATTCAGATTTCTGTAATCGATGCACGGGTGCAACCCTCCATCTTTCTTGGTCACAAAGAAGGAGCCTGCCGACACAGTGGAGGTGGACGTGTGAATGAAACCCTGCTAGAGAGCCTCCTGGATGTCCTCCTCCATAGCCTTGGTTTCAGCCATCGACAGAGGGTAGATGTGGCCACGCGCGGCGTAGAGCCTGCAAGCAGGTTGATGGCACAGTCCCAGGGGTGATGAGGAGGGAGATTAATTATTAGCCATTCTCAAATAAGCCAGCTGGTCGTGGTGTTGACGAAGTATGTGTCCCTGTTCGCAGACCATCTGGGAGAAGTCTTGATTAACTGCTGCTTCCATTTGTTGATGTAGTATTTTGCCTTTTCTGTCGCACTGAAAACTTAAGTAGAAAAGAAGACATACACGGTAGTATGCCTTTTAATTACTAAACAAGAAGAGGTTTCAAGTGTTTTACATGTTTTGTCATTTTTCTTTTAGCGAGGACCCCTTCTCAGCAAAGCCAGTATGGGAATCCTCATGCCAACACATCAGATCAACCGGTTAGCAGAATTGCTGTATCAAGAGTGAGACTGGATAACAGTATTAAAGCTAAATATTACAGCATTAGATTTGACCCAGAGTCTGATTTGAGTGAGTCTGTGTTTCATCCCCATACTGTAGCTCCACGGTGATGATGCTGCCCTAAACTACACTACCCTGAAGTTCACTGACAAGAAGAGTATGAAGCCCAGGAGACAGAGGAGAGAACAGAGAGAACAGAGAGAGGAAGAAACCATCTACTCTGGAGTGAGTCATCAAGACAGAATTTAACATGTGAGGGTCATCCAATTAGCATCATTCTAAGTTAGGACCCACTCCTCCTCTGAACTCCACTTTGATCTTGACTGTGTCCTTGTCAACTGGCTATTATATACATTTCTCATTTGCTGTAGGATGCCATTGCAGGGGCCTAGCTTCGCTTAATATAAATGTAAAAACACTCAGGTGCAGAGCATAATTGTCCAGCAAGTGTGAAAGCTGATACTAGAATGGTTTCAGAAATCTCAAATCCTCAGCAATAGTGGCTTAGGTTGACTGACTGGATACATTTGTTTTTCTAGAAGTGTACAACAAAGTGTATATAATGATTTTGCAAATGTCTCAACTCTTACTTTTGATGATAAAAGTTGTAACATTGAACTCTGTAACCTGTCCTTATGCTTGTGTGATATTTCATTAAATGTTTTTCATGTTTTTATTTTAAAGTTTAATGACTTGCCCAATTCTTACCACTTATTTGCATCAGGTATCAACGGATCATATCTATATATTGTCAAAAAAGTGCCAACCTCACCAGAGTTCAATTCTTCCTGAAAGGTTGAACTGCTTCTACAGACATGAAGTGAGAAATACAATGTAAAGCCCCTGTGTATGTCAAAGAGGACATATGTACCACTAGTCTCAGCCACCGACCCAAATGATGAAAAAATACAAACCAGTAACTCTGACTTTACATCATTGAAGGGCTGCTCTAACTATGGTATGCCACAGGACACATGTTAGATTGTAGTTTTTATCACATGTTTTATGGTTGTTCAGACAGCCAATAATATCACTCAGTTCAGAGTTTCCACCTACTTCATAATGATTACACGATGAGTGTCATCATATAAAAGGTGCCCCGTTGTCAGACCCACCACTATGCAGTGCAGAAAGGACATTAAAATTATGATTATATATTGGACAATCTTTTTGTTTTACGCCAATTTGGGTAAGTAAGAAATATTAATGTGGATCCTTTTACTTATTTATGTCAGTCTTTTTGAATCCAATTGAATGACCATGTAGTCTGAATAATGATAATAATGTATCATTCTGTACTATACCTTTGTCTTTGATTTATTTAGTTTGTTTGCTTCCCAGGTTGTGCACTTAACAACGATGTAATCCAACCAGACCCTGTGATGGTTACACACCTGGGACAAAGTGTATCTCTTACTTGCTTTTGTCGATCTAATTTGATCAGTGTCTCTTGGTTCAAGCAAATTGTTGGACAGAAGCCTCTTCTCATGGCATCATCATATTACCGCATTCAAAAGGCTTTTTATTACGACAATTTTATCAAGGACTTTAATGAGACTAAACGTTTGAGTGTGAAGAGAGGAGTTGACAGTTGTAACCTGACCATCTCCAAGACAGAGTCAGGGGACACAGCTACATACTACTGTGGTGCTATGGAAGTGGGCGAAGTCAAATTTGGAGAAGGAACTTTTTTAATTGTCAAAGGTATCTTAAGTCGGTACCTAAGTGTGTTCATATAATGCTAAACTAATGAATCTATTAGGAAAATTGAATGTACACACCTTGATCTTACTCACTCTTTTCAGATTCAGGGTCCAACAGCATGTCTGTGATCCAGCAGCCTGTGTCTGAGTCAGTCCAGCCAGGAGACTCTGTGACACTGAACTGTACAATACACACTGAGACCTGTGCAGGAGAACACAGTGTCTATTGGTTCAGACATGGCTCAGGAGAATCCCATCCAGGAATAATTTACACCCAAGGAGACAGGAGTGATCCGTGTGAGAACAGCCCTGAGGCTGGGTCTCCTACACAGAGATGTGTCTACAACCTCCCCAAGAGGAACCTCAGCCTCTCCGATGCTGGGACTTACTACTGTGCTGTGGCCTCATGTGGGGCGATACGGTTTGGGAACGGGACCAAACTGGACATTGACTGTTAGTGATATTTCTGACATTTCTAAAATGTTCTAATATTTTATGCCTGGTTGAACAAAATGTCCTGAATTTCCTCTATCACTATCTGTATTTCCACAGATGGTTGTAAGGAGGACCATGTTCTCTTGGTGTACTGTCTGGGTGTAGTGTTGGCTCTTTGTGTCATCCTCATCATTGTCCTTGGTTGTGTTTTGTATAAGATGACCAAGAAAACCTCTCTGCTGTGTAGAGGTAAGTGTTATCATTGCGCACAATATATGCTTAAATTGTTGGTGCAGTATACATTACGTTTTAGTCATGAAACTGGGTTAATTAATTGTATGTGTTTGTCTAAAAGGAACGCATCCTCAGCCAAATGGTCCGGTAGTCACCAGTTATCCTAGCCAGGTATGCAGACCTTATAGTGAACTATTCTGAGTATGACTTTGATTAACTGTAAACAAATCCTTCTATCAAATGACCAGGTATTTTCTTTGGAAGTCTTTGGAATTTGTTTTGCTATTCCTCTTAGGATCAAGAAGATGATGACACACTCACGTCGGTCCATTACGCTGCTCTGAATGTCATCCACAAGAAGCCAAAGACCCAGAGACAGAGGAGTGCCAAAACATGGACTGAAACATAGATTTACCTCCTTTAAGACTTGCATTGCTTTTTCTGTTACACACTGTGTTTTTATCATTAGAATTGTGTTACAATTGCTTGTATTCTGTCAAACTACTTTTTACATTACTGTTTCGATACTGTTGTGCATTTCATATAAAATACAACATTAATTCACTTTTATTTAAATGTATGTTTGATTTTCTCTCATATTCTTCAAGCTAAACTGGTAAATTTGCAGGGACATTGCATCCAGATTACATGAGGAGGATAATAGCATGCATAGAGGACATTCTATTGACTAACACTTTCAGTTGTCTCAAACTCTCTTTTTTAAGCTGTATCCTGCATTACATCTCTGTGGTGTTCTGAAGGCCCTAAATATATTTTTCCACTCAGCTTAACTCATCTCAAAACCCCATGCAATGTCCGTCAATCCTCACCACACACTGTTCACCTCAGTGCATCAAATCCACAAACATCCATGTCACTAAGAGCACAACTAACTCTCTTCATGACAAAAGCCTGAGGTAAAATTCACTGGTAGGTTTGCAGGGACATTGCATCCTGATTACATGATGTGCATAATAGCATGCATAGAGTACATTCTATTGACTAACACTTTCATTGTATCAGAATCTCTTTTTGAGGATGTATCCTGCATCACATATCTGTGGTATTCTGACGGCCCTAAATAGATTTACCACTCAGCTTAACTCATCTCTAACCCCCAGCAATGACCGTCAGTCCTCACCACACACTGTCTTCCCACACCTCAGTGCTTCAAAACCACAAACATCCCATGTCACTAAGATTACAACTCACTCTCTTCATGAGAAAAGACTGAACTAAAAATAGACTTCTTAGCTGAGTATATTTTGAAAAGAGTTGATATTGTTGAAAATATAATCCAAATACGACAATGTACATATTGTAAATAAGAATTTTTCACAAACAATACAAAATGTTAATATGCATTTGTGCAGGTTGAAGTACTGTACTTTATTTCAATTTCAATAGGGTGCAGCAGTGTACATGGAAGTCCACATAACTGCCTTAACAGTAGAGTCGGCAGCAACTTTTAGAATTGTCAAAATGTTCATATTATTAATTAAGAATCATTGAAAACTTACTTTCCTGTGATAGTTAATGTGTGTAGTCCCAACAAAGACAATGTGTTGCTGTTAAAAATCTATAACAAGGTAATATATACCTTTACTACATGCGTATTACACATCTACAACATGTTATAAACCCATTTCAGCATCATGGTGTCACATGCATCAAACAGGCCAGGTAGTCATCATCACTGGATCATTACTACTAACATCAACTAAGTTATTATAAAGTGTACCTTAGTTAACAGGAGGAGCCACAGAATCACTCAAAATAAAATGGGTAGCAGAGTGATCTCTATATGACAAAGACAATGACTCATGTTGACTTGTAGTTTTATATTGAGTTCCAGGGAGTAGTTGAATAAGTATTGGAGATAACCTATTTATTAAAGTAATCTCTCCTTTGTAATGTGTTGTCCTCTTTTAGTGTTGATAGTATGCCACTTACACCCACCCCCACACATTGAACAAATTCACAGATACTCTGCAGTCTTCTGTAAGCCCAAGATGAGGCTGTATCTATGCTTTGGTCTTCTGGCCTGCTGGCTTTGTGCACACAGGACCCTCCTACCTGCTCTCTGTGTCTCTGTGTCTCTATGTGGTTTTCAGAAGGATGTCTATGTGGTGTCACTGTTGTTCTCACTATCTTTACTTGTTGTTCATGTTGCCCCTGACAGCTTACAGCCACAGCAAAACAGTTATTTATTCAACTGACTCTAATATATATTTATTTATTTGAAAACAGTTACAAACCACAAAGAACTGCTGATGAACCCTATTTGAACTCTCTGAGTTAATTGTGTCATGTGTGATACAGCACCATCTATTCTAGATATTTTGGCTAAGGGGGAGGGGCCAGTTTATGATGATGTCATGGGAGAACTTTCAGTACATTCTCAATCAATATATTCTGATAGATTACTTCCTATTAGAACAACACTAACCAGAGATTGAAACAGAATATATCAAATCTGTCACATGTATTAGTTAGGCTGGGGAGTCATGTCAGCCATGCACTCTCAGGTGTTATACATCAGTTAGTTAATGTTTCTGTAAATTATATACAGATAATGTAAGACTGACTAAAATGTACTTGTTTCATTCTGTAGGTGTTTCCCCCACATATACTCATGATGCTCCACCCCTGTTCACCCTGATACTGAACATGACCAACCACAAAAACCACAAACCAACAAGTAGTAAAACCATCAAGAGAATTACTTACAAGACCATTCTACAGCATCCTGTGTCAACAACTTAAACAACTGATACCAATTGACATGTAATTCCTCCTTCTCTTGTGTTCTGTACATGGTATGCCTTTATGAATGTTTGTCCAGAGGGCTTCTGCAGAGTCAACCTACTGTTACCATGCTAAACCCACCCACTCAACATGCACTCAGTGAGCTGTTCACAGGTATCTGAACACTTTGGTCTGTTGTGAGCTCAAGATGAAGCCATCTCTACGCTGTGGACAGGCCTGCTGGCCTTGTACACACCCTGTGGTTTTCAGCAGGATGTCTATGTGGTGTCAGTCAGTTACTCTTATTCTTCGTTGTTCACACCCATCAAAATAAGCAACACAGACCACTGCCATGCAGACCCACACAATATCTTATCACTTACAAGTTCATAGTTTTAATTAATTATTGAATTGCAATCATTAGTTTACAGTGTAGAGTAGAAGGTGTATCCAGGCTACAGCCAAGAGCCCTACCCACCCAGGTAAACCCCTGACCCTTACTAAACTATCAGGTGTTACATTTCAGTTAATAATGGATATTTATGTGAATGAGACTGACATACAATAGACTTGTTTAATCCTGTAGGTATTTCCTCCATATTCACTAATTATGCTCTCTACCCCTGTCCACCTCTATGCAGAACAGACCTCCTACTCATCTGGAGTATTGCAACTGTTACGAATTCCCTGCCGGTGACTCTTAGCACACCATCTCTTTCTCACAGCCCTCCCTCAGGGACAAACTCTGTAACTTTCTAATTCCTGCAGTAGGCTCCCTTCGCCTCTTACTAGGGGTCATGGTTACCAGGAGCCTTAACACACCGTGGGGTCAGCCAATCACAAGCAGTCATCTTGGGTCCCAGATCCCAAATTCCTGCCTCCTCCTCTCAGTTTCCTTCAAGCCGTCACAGAAAGAGCAGCAAGCTCATCTCTGTTCTTCACAACAGCTGGACTCACTCATATATCTTTGGACATGTGTGACTGTGTGCGTGAACGAAGTGAGTTGTGGGACATGTTTACATTGTTCTTAATAGTTAGATATTGTTGCATTATGTATGCTGCCTCTGTACAGCTTGTAACCTGTAAACATGTTCAGGGATTATATGCCATTTATACATTCCTGTATTATGGTTATTAAACCTCTTGTGATATCGTATGTACAGTTTCATTGCCTTTCATTTCCTTCTACAGAACCTCTACATTTCCCACTTTCCATCCCCATGTACATTTCCTGGTCACAGACCAGTAAACATTTAGAGCCAGGTTGCTCTTTTTCAGTAGCTGTTGAATGTCCTGGTCAAAATTATATTTGTTTTCTTTCAAAGACGTAGGGTATAACTGTATCAAAGAAGACACAGTGGGTTGTGTGTGGCTGTCCATGTGGGTGTTTGAGTGGGAAAGAGACAGAGGCGAACCAATCAGTAAAAAAGCACAGCCCCCTTCATTATCGACGCATCGTGCCGACAACATCAAAACAGCCTCCAGACTCTGAAGTCAGGAGGTTTTCTAGTTAGGTGTCAAAAGGAGGTAGTCTAGCATGAGCATTGGCTTTTGCGAGCCGGAACGGCTCATAGGAGCAGCAGCCTATATCCTGTTTCTGTAGCGTGAGGCAGCTTGATGTACAGTACACCTCCTGGAGATGACTCTAGTCTATCACAGGGCCTTACCCCCAATCTATCTCCATAATGCTGATGTTGATATGGAATGTCGTTGGAGGGAATAGCGGCCATTATACGGGCTCCTGACCAATTGTGCTATTTTGTGTATTTTTTGGAGCTGATCTTAACTTTTTTAGCATATTTTGTTTCCGCCATCGTTTCCTACAGTATGACGAAAAAAGCTTCTGGACATCAGAACAGCTATCACTAACCTCAATTTGGATGAGGACTTCTACTTCAATGAATCAGATGCGATACCATGTTGATTATCCAGGACCAGGCCCAAATCCTGACACTTGAAGAAGGATGAGACGTCGCTATAGAGGCTGGCATGTGGGATACCTAGCGAGACTACGTCAGCGAGTGGATAAACCGCCTCTACCCTCCGTTCTATTGGCAAACGTGCAATCACTGGAGAATAAACTGGATGAGCTCCGATCGAGACTAGCCTATCAACGTGATCTTAAGAACTGTAATATCCTTTGTTTCTCTGAGTCATGGCTGAACAAGGACATGGTAAATAAAAATCTAGCAGTTTTTTCTATACATCGACAGGACAGAACAGTGCTGAAAGAGAGCAAACCGGCTCTACGTATTTTACTGGTTTGTGACCCACTGACACCGCCCCCAGTTAGAGGGGAATAAGGCAGTCCAAGAGTTGACACATACAGTAACTTTATTTACACACACTGGAGATGATGAATATGGGGATGCATATGGGAATATACATGGGGATGAAAAGTGGGAAAGGTAGTGGAATGGAAGTGGTTCTGAAACAGGAGAAACAGAGGTAAAGTATTCACTGTACACAATACTATCTCATAGCACAAGTAGAAACAAGGGAAGGACTGTATGAAAATGTATATGCTACCTACACATTACAATGCAGCTATACACAAAGGCAGCATACAACAATAGTAACAACTAATTATGAAGAACAATTTACAAATATCACATAACTCACTTTGCACACGCACCCCATCCCACAAGCCCAGAAATATGTTATTGAGTCCAGTTGTTGATGGACAGAGACAGAGATGTTGCTCTCTGCCACTGCTTGAGGGAGACTGCAAGTGTTGTGTGACCTGCATAGTCAAGAGGATGGGCCTCCTAGTAAACTCCCCAGCAACCTATCAGGGCACAGGTCAAATAGGTCAGAGAGAATTTGAGAGGCATGTTTATGGTACCCCCTAGACTCTCAGGCTCCGGTTGTTGGGGGAAGGGGAGTGGTGTGTGCAGCTTAAGGTTGTGAGGTGAGGATAACAGACACCAGCATGGGAATTCGTAACAGGTGGGGTCGGGGAAGCTCGGGGGAGAGGATGTGTGTCTCTTCGTTAACAACAGCTGGTGCGCAATCTCTAATGTTAAGGAAGTATCGAGGTTCTGTTCACCTGAGTTAGAATACCCCATGATAAGCAGTAGACCATACTATTTACCAATAGAGGTTTCATCTATATTTTTTGTAACTGTCTATTGACAACCACAAACCAATTTTGGCACTAAAACCGCACTCAACGAGCTGTAAAGGGCCATAAGCAAACAAGAAAATGCTCACCCAGAGGCAACGCTCCTAGTGGCAGGTGACTTTAATGTAGGAAAACTGAAATCCGTTTCACCTCATTTCTGTCAGCATGTCACCTATGCAATTAGAGGCAAAAAAACTCTAGATCACCTTTACTCCACACACAGAGACACATACAAAGCTCTCCCTCGCACGCTATTTGGCAAATATGACCATAACTGTATCCTCCTGATTCCTGATTACAAGCAAAAAGTACCAGTGACATGTTCAATACGGAAGTGGTCCGATGAAGCGGATGCTAAGCTACAGGACTGCTTCGCTAGCACAGACTGGAATATGTTTACAACATCAGTCACGGGCTTCATTAACAAGTGCATCGAGGATGACGTCCCCACTGTGACCGTAAGTGCGTATCCTAACCAGAAGCCATGGATTACAGGCAACATCCACAATGAGCTAAATGCTAAACCTGCCACTTTCATGGAGAGGGACATTATTCCGGACGCTTACAATAAATGCTACTTCGACCTTCGACCAAACATCAAACAAGCAAAGCGTCAATACAGGACCAAGATCCCTGACCCAGTTTGTAATACCTACATGTTTCAAGCAGACCACCATAGTCCCTGTGCTCAAGAACGGCAAGGTAACCTGTCTAAATGACTATCGACACTAAACACTCACATCTGTAGCCATAAAATGCTTTGAAAGGCTGGTCATGGCTCACATCAACACCATCATCCCAGACACCCTGGACCCACTCCTATTCGCATACTGCCCCAACAGATCCACAGAAGCTCATCACTAAGGACATCTGGGGCCAAGCTGGGGCCGAGCTCCCAGCAATCCAGGCCCTCTATACCAGGCAGTGTCAGAGGAATTTATTTTTTAATTTTATTTCACCTTTATTTAACCAGGTAAGCCAGTTGAGAACAAGTTCTCATTTACAACTGCGACCTGGCCAAGATAAAGCAAAGCAGTGCGATAAAAACAACAACACAGAGTTACATATGGGGTAAAACAAAACATAAAGTCAAAAATACAACAGAATATATATATACAGTGTGTGCAAATGTAGCAAGTTATGGAGGTAAGGCAATAAATAGGCTATTGTGCAAAATAATTACAATTAGTATTTACACTGGAATGATAGATGTGCAAGAGATGATGTGCAAATAGAGATACTGGGGTGCAAATGAGCAAAATAAATAACAATATAGGGATGAGGTAGTTGGGCGGGCTAATTTCAGATGGGCTGTGTACAGGTGCAGTGATCGGTAAGGTGCTCTGAACACTGATGCTTAAAATTAGTGAGGGAGATAAGTGTCTCCAGCTTCAGAGATTTTTGCAATTTGTTCCAGTCATTGGCAGCAGAGAACTGGAAGGAATGGCGGCCAAAGGAGGTGTTGGCTTTGGGGATGACCAGTGAGATATACCTGCTGGAGCGCATACTACGGGTGGGTGTTGTTATGGTGACCAATGAGCTAAGATAAGGTGGGGATTTGCCTAGCAGTGATTTATAGATGGCCTGGAGCCAGTGGGTTTGGCGACGAATATGTAGTGAGGGCCAGCCAACGAGAGCATACAGGTCACAGTGGTGGGTAGTATATGGGGCTTTGGAGACAAAACGGATGGCGCTGTGATAGACTACATCCAATTTGCTGAGTAGTGTGTTGGAGGCTATTTTGTAAATGACATCGCCGAAGTCAAGGATCGGTAGGATAGTCAGTTTTACGAGGGCATGTTTGGCAGCATGAGTGAAGGAGGCTTTGTTGCGAAATAGGAAACCAATTCTAGATTTAACTTTGGATTGGAGATTCTTTATGTGAGTCTGGAAGGAGAGTTTACAGTCTAACCAGACACCTAGGTATTTGTAGTTGTCCACATACTCTAGGTCAGACCTGTCGAGAGTAGTGATTCTAGTCGGGTGGGCGGGTGCAAGCAGCGTTCGATTGAAGAGCATGCATTTAGTTTTACTAGAGCAGTTGGAGGCTACTGAAGGAGTGTTGTATGGCATTGAAGCTCGTTTGGAGGTTTGTTAGGAAGACCCTCCCAAGTCATACTGTTCTCTCTGCTACCGCACGGCAAGTGGTAACGATGCACCAAGTCTGGAACCAACAGCACCCTGAACAGCTTCGACCTCCAAGCAATAGGACTGCTAAATAGTTAGTTAAACAGTCAAATCAAATGAAATCACATTTTATTGGTCACATACACGTTTAGCAGATGTTATTGTGAGTGTAGCGAAATGCTTCTGTTTCTAGCTCCAACAGTGAAGTAATATCTAACAATTCACGACAATACACAAAATACACACAATCTAAAAGTAAAAGAATGGAATTAAGAAATATATAAATATTAGGACGAGCAATGTCGGAGGGGCATAGACTAAAATACACTAGAATAGAATACAGTATATACATATGAGATGAGTAAAGCAAAAATGACTAGTGTTCCATTATTAAAGTGGCCAGTGATTTATAGTCTACATATATAGAGCAGCAGCTTCTAAGGTGCAGGGTTACGTAACCGGGTGGAAGCCGCCTAGTGATGGCTATTTAACAATCTGATGGACTTGAGATATAAGCAGTTTTTCAGTGTCTCGGTCCCAGCTTTGATGCACCTGTACTGACCTTGCCTTCTGGATGATAGCGGGGTTAACAGGCAGTGGCTCGGGTGGTTGTTGTCCTTGATTATCTTTTTGGCCTTCCTGTGACATCGGGTGCTGTATGTGTCCTGGAGGGCAGGTAGTTGGCCCCCGTGATGCGTTTGGCAGACCGCACTACCCTCTGGAGAGCCCTGTGGTTGCCGGTGGTGCAGTATTCCTTTTGTCCAGATGGGATAGGGTAGTGTGCAATGTGATGACGATTGCATCATCTGTAAGCAAATTTAAGTGGATCTAGGGTGTCAGGTAAGGTATAGGTGATATGATCCTTAACTAGCCTCTCAAAGCACTTCATGATGACAGAAGTGAGTGCTAAGGGGCGATAGTCATTTAGTTCAGTTACCTTTGCTTTCTTGGGTACAGGAACGATTGTGGACATCTTGAAGCAAGTGGGGACAGCAGACTGGGATAGGGAGAGATTGAATACGTCCGTAAAGTTGGTCTGTATTTATTCCTCGTGTTATACATTTTCTATAATTACTATTTTTCTCTCTCTGCATTGTTGGCAAGGGCCCGTAAGTAAGCATTTCACTTTAAGTTTGCTAAGCATGTGACAAGTGAGTTTGACTTTGATTTAATTAGCCAAGCACAGACGCATCAGGTCTTATTTTTACAGTCTTTGGAATAAGTTAGGTGTCAGCCAGACTAAAACTGTATTATAGATTAATTTAAACTCTGAGTTGGCCTGGGTTGGGATGGGCTCAGTATCAGAGGCACAAGAGAGCAGAATAGGATCATTCACTGTTTGTCCAAACATCAAAAGAGAACTGGTCTTTAATAAAAGTTTCATTTCCCAAATAAATAACCAGCTGTATCAAGCTACTATTTGAATGTCTTGATACAATAACTCTGACTTGCTTTACAATGTCTTCTTTAAAGTTTTTTTTCTGCTCAAACTGTGGTAAACCAGACGACATATTTGCTAGAAAGTACTTTTTAGTCCTGTTCAGACAGCCAATACAATCTCTTGTTTCAGTGTTCCCTCCTACACTGTATAAAGGCTATGTAAAGTGTCATTATATAAAAGGTGCCCCGTTGTCAGACCCTTATTCTGTACAGTACAGAAAGGATTGACGTTTCAATGATGATCAGACATTGGGCAATCTTTTTGTTTTATGCCAACTCCGGTAAGAAATTACAATGTAGCTCCTTTAAAACAATCTACATATCATTGGCTTTTATAATGCATTTGAATTATGTTGTAGCAAGTATTTTAGATGTTGTTCAGTCTTTATCTTGATCTTTGATCAATATTGTTTGTTTGCTTTGACAGTTTGTGCATTAACCAAGGACATTGTTCAACCAAACCCAGTGATGGTTACTCACCGGGGAGCTAGTGTGAACATCCCTTGCTTTTGGCCAACTGATGTGAATACCAATGTTGCTTGGTTCAAGCAGACTTTTGGACAGAAACCCCTTCTCATGACATCGACACTTTCCAGTGGACAATATTTTTATTTCAACAACTTTACCAAGGATTTCACTGAGACTAAACATCTGAGTGTGAAGAGAGGAGTTGACAGCTTTAACCTGACCATCTCCAAGACAGAGCCAGGGGACTCTGCTACTTACTACTGTGGTGCTATGAAAGTGGGCAAAGTCAAATTTGGAGAAGGAACTGTTTTGATTGTCAAAGGTAACTAAACTTCCTTCCCTAATTTTGGATTTTCAATTTTGCACCATCAAATTAGAAATGTACTTGGCGCTAAATGAAAATACCAGGCCAATACCATTTACACACCATGATCTTACTCCGTCTCTCTCTTCAGGTTCAGAGTCCAACAGCATGTATGTGCTACAGCAGCCTGTGTCTGAGTCGGTCCAGCCAGGTGACTCTGTGACTCTGAACTGTACAATACACACTGAGACCTGTGCAGGAGAACACAGTGTCTATTGGTTCAGACATGGTTCAGGAGAATCCCATCCAGGAATCATTTACACCCATGGAGACAGGAGTGATCAATGTGAGAACAGCCCTGAGGCTGGGTCTCCTACACAGAGCTGTGTCTACAACCTCCCCAAGAGGAACCTCAGCCTCTCTGATGCTGGGACTTACTACTGTGCTGTGGCCTCATGTGGGGAGATACTGTTTGGGAACGGGACCAAGCTGGACATTGACCGTAAGTAATATTTCTGACATTTCTGAAAATATCTAACACTCTTTCACATTGCTGTGAATAGATTGTATGCCTGGTTGAGCAAAATGTCCTGAATTTCCTCTATCACTGTCTGTATTTCTACAGATGGTTGTAAGGAGGACCATGTTCTCTTGGTGTACTGTCTGGGTGTAGTGTTGGCTCTTTGTGTCATCCTCATCATTGTCCTTGGTTGTGTTTTGTATAAGATGACCAAGAAAACCTCTCTGCTGTGTAGAGGTAAGTGTTATCATTGCCCACAATATATGCTTAAGCTGTTGATGCAGGATACATTACGTTTAATCATGAAACTGGGTTAATTCATTGTATGATGATGATTCCACCATGTGTTTGTCTAAAAGGAACGCACGCTCAGTCAAGTGGTCCGGCAGTCCCCGGTTCTCACAATCAGGTATGCAGACCATGAAGTACATTCTTTTTTGTATGAGTTTGATGAACTGTAAACATATCCTTCTATCAATGTATCTGGTCATTTCCTGATGCCTTTGGAATTGTTTTGCTATTCCTTTTAGGATAAAGAAGATGATGACACACTCACGTCGGTCCATTACGCTGCTCTGAATGTCATCCACAAGAAGCCAAAGACCCAGAGACAGAGGAGTGCCATGGGGAGAGACACTGTGTATTCTGGGGTGAGGTGCCAAAACATGGACTGAAACATAGATTTACCTCCTTTAAGACTTGCATTGCTTTTGTGTTTTCTACACTATATGTATAACTATGGCTTTTTCATTGTGTGTTACAATTACTTGTATTCTGTCAACCTCCTTTTAACATTGATACTGGAAGTGCATTTTAGATCCAATAAAACATTCAACTGCTTTCATATAGAGGTATTGTTTGGTTTGCATTAATATTTTTCTCTGTCCTTAAATTTCACCCACAGATTCAGTATGCAATAACCATACTGGGCTTATGCTCAATGTAACAAAGGTATGTTTGGCTGGATAATGCACTGTAAATATGCATCTATTGACTGGTGATTTAGTTTGTCTCAAACTCTTTTTTAGCCGTATATTGAAAACATCTCTGTGGTGTTCTGAATGCCCTAAATAGATTTAACTCTCAGCTAAACTCATCTCTAACCCCCAGCAATGACCTACAGTCCTCACCATGCGCTCTCTACAAACACCTGCATCTAAACCACAAACAACCATGTCACTAAGAGCACAACTCACTCTCTTCATGAGGAAAGCCTGAACTAAAAATAAACAGCTTAGGTGAATATACTTTGAACAGTATATTGTTGAGAGACTGATTTCAAATATGACAATGTACACATTGTGATTTAGCAGTTTTCAGAAACTATTGACAAAATGTGAACGTATAAGTCCACCTTGCAGGACTGCAATCCATTTATCTTTCAATAGTGAGCAGTAGTCTATATGGAAGTCCCTGTGACTGCTTCACCAGTAGAGTCGAAGCAACTTTTAGAAGTTGTGAAAATGTTCAAATTGTTGAATCGTTGAAAACGTACTTTCCTAAGATAGTTTGTGTGTAGCCGAAATAGTTGTCAAACAAGTTCCCAACAAACACAATGTGTGGCTGTTAAGAATCTATAACAAGGTAATATAGTTAATACAGGCTTATTACACATCTATAACATGTTATAAACCCATTTCAGCATCATAGCGTTGCATGCATCAAACAGGCCAGGCATTCTACATCACTAGATCATTACAGCTATCATCAACTAAGTTATTATAAAGTGTAGCTTAGTTACCAGGAGGAGCCACACAATCACTCAAATTAAAACTGGTAGCAGAGTAATCTCTATATGACGAATACAATGACTCATGTATTTACTTGTATTATTTTGTTTTTATTGAGTTCCAGAGAGCAGTTGCATAAGTAAGGCCCACAACCTTTTTAATCACATAATCTCTCCTTTGTAATGTGTTGTCTTCTTTTAGTTAAATTGATAGCATGCCACTCACACCCACCCCCACACATTGACAAGTTCACAGATACTCTGCAGTCTCCTGTAAGCCCAAGACAAGGCCGTATCTACGCTTTGGTCAGGTGGCCTGCTGACTTTGTACACAAGGGACACTCCTACCTGCTCTCTGTGTCTCTGTGTCTCTATGTGGTTTTCAGCAGGATGTATATGTGGTGTCACTGTTGTTCTCACTATCTTTACTTGTTGTTCATGTTGCACCTGACAGATTACAGCCACAGCAAAACAGTTATTTATTAAACTGACTCTAATATATATTTAGTTACCTGAAATCAGTTTCAAACCACAAAGAACTGCTGATGAACCCTATTTGAACTCTCTGAGTTAACTGTGTCATGTTTGATACAGCACCATATATTATAGATCTATGGGCTCAGTGGGAGGGGCCAGTTTATGATGATGTCATGGGAGAACTTTCAGTACATTCTCAATCAGACAAGTGCAGCACAAAAACTACTGCAGAGAGAAACACAGAGTGGATCAAATGTGTCTTGTATTGGTTGGCTTGTTGACTGGTGTCCAATCAGACATGCACTCTCAGGTGTTACACATCAGTCAGTGCATGTTTCTGTGAATAATATACAGGTAATGAGACTGACATACAATAGACTTGTTTCATTCTGTTGGTGTTTTCCAGTATGCACTCTGCTCCACCCCCGTTTCACCCTTATACTGTACATGACAAGACATGTTCTAGACACAAAATACCTCCTATGGGTCATCTGGAGTATTGTAACTGTTGAATTATCAGCTGGACAAAATAAAACATTTTTCCTTTTAAAAACTTAAGGTACACTTGCATCAAATAATACATGTATTACAAAGACAAAGTATTACAGAGACATAATACACTTATAAGGGACATGCCCAGTGCAGTGGCACAACTGAGGTAAATTAGAGGATATGGACTGACATATAAAAAAGGGCAACAATATAGCTATGCTATGTTTAAAAGGACATCAGTAACCAACAAAGGTCTGACATTTATAGGCCATGCTATTGCCACAACTAATAATACTACATTATTTAATGTTGGATGCCTAAGATGAAAACCAAGAGCCAAAAATGCAGGTTGTATGCTGTGGGGGAGAAACTTACAACATTATGGATTAATTTAACCTCTGGGCTAGGCTGGGTTGGGCTCAGTATCAGAGGCACTAGAGAGGGGAATATGATCCTTTGCTGTTTGTCCAAACATCAAAAGAGAGCTGGTCTTAATAAGTTTAATTTCTCAAATAAAAAAGCGGTGTATCAAGCCACAATTTAATCGGCTTGATCTTATAACTCTGACTTGATTGTCTTCTTTAAAAGTCTGTTCGTGCTGCTCAAACTACTGTAAACAGCTAGACTGTAGCTTTTATTCTTGTTCAGACAGCCAATAGAGTCTCTCAGTTCAGTGTTCCCTCCTACTGTATAACGGCTACATATAAGTTTCATCAGAAAAGAGGGGCCCTTTGTCAGACCCTCACACTATACAGTGCAGAAAGGATTGACATTACAATGAAGATCAGACATTGGACAATGCTTTTGTTTTATGCCAACTTCGGTAAGTAAGAATTCAAAATGTGGCTCGATTTAAATTGCATTTAGTATGAATATGAAAAGTATAATGAGATATACTGTCTCTATAATGGGTATAAATTAATTTTGATTCGTTTTATGTTTATCTTTTACAGTTTGTGCATTGACTATGGACATTGTTCAACCAGACCCTGGGATTTGTACTGAGATGAGAGGTACTGTGTCTCTCCCTTTTTTTGTCCATTAAAATAACATCAAATTGATCACAAATACAGTGTAGACATTGTTAATGTTGTAAATGGCTATTGTAGCTGGAAACGGCAGATTTTTTTATGGATTATCTGCATAGGCGTACAGAGGCCCATTATCAGCAACCATCAGTCCTGTGTTCCAATGGCACATTGTGTTTGCTAATTCAAGTTTATCATTTTAAAAGTCTAATTGATCATTAGAAAACCCTTTTGCAATTGTGTTAGCACAGCTGAAAACTCTTGTGCTGATTAAATAAGCAATAAAACTGGCCTTCTTGAGACTAGTTGAGTATCTGGAGCATCAGCAATTGTGGGTTCGATTACAGGCTCAAAATGTCCAGAAACAAATAACTTTCTTCTGAAACTCGTCAGTCTATTCTTGTTCTGAGAAATGAGGGCTATTCCATGTGAGAAATTGCCAAGAAACGGAAGATCTCGTACAACGCTGTGTACTACTCCCTTCACAGAACAGCGCAAACTGGCTCTAACCAGAATAGAAAGAGGAGTGGGAGGCCCCGGTGCACAACTGAGCAAGAGGACAAATACATTAGAGTGTCTAGTTTGAGAAACAGGCGCCTCACAGGTCCTCAACTGGCAGCTTCATTAAATAGTACCCGCAAAACACCAGTCTCAACGTCAACAGTGAAGAAGCGACTCCAGGATGCTGACCTTCTTGGCAGAGTTGATAAGAAAAAGCCATATCTCAGACAGACCATCTTAATCTTTTATTTTTATTGGCCAGTCTGAGGCTAATTGATCATTAGTAGACTTTTGAACGGTAGTGTACTACTGTGGTGCTGTGTTAGTGGGCAAAATCAAATTTGGAGAAGAACTGTTTTAATTGTCAAAGGTAAATTAACTTCCTTCCCTAATTTTGGATTTTCATTTTGCAGCATACAATTCAAAATAAACTTTACAATGTAAATAAACATAGCAGGAAAATACAATTTACAAACCATAATCTTACGCTGTCAATCTCTTCAGATTCAGTCCAACAACATGTCTGTGCTCCAGCAGACTGTGTCGGAGTCAGTCCAGCCAGGACACTCTGTGACTGAACTGTATAATACACACTGAGACCTGTGCAGGAGAACACAGTGTCTATGGGATCAGACATGGCCCAGGAGAATCCCATCCAGGAATGATTTACACCCATAGAGACAGGAGTGATCAGTGTGAGAAGAGCCCTGAGGCTTGGTGTCCTACATAGCAGTGCATTCAGAAAGTTTGCAGACCCCTTGACTTTTTCCACATTTTGTTACGTTACAGGCTTATTCTAATATAAATTATGTGTTTTTTTCACCTCATCAATCTACACACAATACTGCATAATGACAATGCAAAAACAGGCTTCTATAAATTTTTGCTGAATATAAACTGAAATATCACATTTACATAATTATTCAGACCCAATACTCAGCACTTTGTTGAATCACCTTTGGCAGCAATTACAGCCTTGAGTCTTCTTGGGTATGATGCTATAAGCTTGGCACACCTGTATTTGGGGAGTTTCTCCCGTTCTTCTCTGCAGGTCCTCTCAAGCTCTGTCAGATTGGATTGGAGTGTCGCTGCACAGCTATTTTCAGGTCTCTCCAGAGATGTTCAATTGGGCTCAAGTCTGGGCTCTGGCTGGGCCACTCAAGGACATTCCGAGACTTGTGTTGTCTTGGCTGTTGGAAGGTGAACCTTCGCCCCAGTCTGAGCTCCTGAGCGCTCTGGAGCAGGTTTTCATCAAGGATCTCTCTGTACTTTGCTCCGTTCATCTTTCCCTCGATCCTGACAAGACTCAGAGTCCATGCTGCTGAAAGACATCCCCACAGCATGATGCTGCCACCACCATGCTTCACCGTTGACCACAGGTGGACTGTAGAAACATCTCAAAGGATGATCAATTGAAACAGGATGAAACTGAGCTTAATTTCGAGACTCATAGCAAATAAGGTATTTCTAAAAAACCTGTTTTCGCTTTGTCATTATGGGGTATTGTTTGTAGATTGATCAGGAAAATATTAATTTAATCCATTATTGAATAAGGCTGTCATGTAACAAAATGTTGAAAAGGGGAAGGGGTCTGAATACCTTCCAAATAAACTGTAGAACTTTATATAACTTTCAAGAGATAGTAGATCCACAACTTTAAGCCCAACATCACCAGTCTTTGTGTAAAAGTGTTTGAGAAGAAATAACAGAAAATCATTTTAAATTATATTCGTTTTTTACGTTTCAGACCTGTTGGGTGATCAGAGTCAGCTTATTTTCGTCATCATTCTATCTTGCCTGATAACTGCTGTGATTCTGAGTGTGGTTGTCAATTGTATCTTCTGTGTGAGAATGAAGAGGTTACAATGTGAACACTGTGCAGGTACAGTAAAAGTCTTCATACTAATGGTAATAGTAAGAAAAGTTATAGATCAAAAAGAAGGGTGAAGGCTAGCTCTCCTTTTACCACTTCCCTCTCTGGACATTGTTTTCATTTCACAAGCCTACTTCATTTTGAAGCAGAAAATATGACATACATAGTATGTTTCAAGTGTTTTGAATGTTTTATCATTTTTCTTTTAGCGGGGACCCCTTCTCAGCATAGCCAGTATGGGAAGCCTCATGTCAACACGTCAGACCAACAGGTTAGCAGAATGACACTGGATACGAGTATCAAAACAAAATATTACAGTATTACATTTGACCTGGAGTCTGAATTGAGTGAGTCTGTGTTTCATCCTCATAGCTCCACAGTGACGATGATGGCTTGAACTACTCTTCCCTGAAGTTCACTGACAAGAACAGTACCAAGCCCAGGAGACAGAGGAGAGAACAGAGAGAGGAAGAAACCATCTACTCTGATGTGTCACATAGACAGGATGTGGTAGTCCTCCAATCGGCATCACAGGTGGCACCTTAATTGGGGAGGACGGGCTCATAGTATTTGCTGGAACGGAATAAATGAAATGGGATTGAACGCATCAAACACATTGATACAATTCCTAATCCATTCTAGCCATTGTTGTGAGCCGTCCTCCCCTAAGCAGCCTCCTGTGATCAGCATCATTCTAGGTTAAGCCCCACCCCTCCTCTGAACTCTACTTTGAGCTTGACTGTGTCCTTGTGACCTGGCTATTTGTACATTTCTCATTTACTGTATGTTGCCATTGCAGGGGCCTAGCTTTGGCTAATATACACTACCAGTCAAAAGTTTGGACACATCTACTCATTCAAGGAATATATCCCTATTTGGTAAAAGACCAAGTCCATATCATGGCAAGAACAGCTCAAATAAGCAAAGAGAAACGACAGTCCATCATTACTTTAAGACATGAAGGTCAGTCAATACCGAACATTTCAAGGACTTTGAAAGTTTTTTCATGTGCAGTCGCAAAAACCATCAAGCGCTACGATGAAACTGGAATCTCATGAGGACCGCCACAGGAATGGAAGACCCAGAGTTACCTCTGCAGCAGAGGATAAGTTCATTAGAGTTACCAGCCTGAGAAATTGCAGCCCAAATAAATGCTTCACAGAGTTCAAGTCACAGATACATCTCAACATCAACTGTTCAGAGGGGACTGTGTGAATCAGGCATTCATGGTCGAATTGCTGCAAAGAAACCACTACTAAAGGACACCAATAATAAGAAGAGACCAGCTTGGACCAAGAAACACGAGCAATGGACATTAGACCGGTGGAAATGTGTCCTTTGGTCTGGAGTCCAAATTGGATATTTCTGGTTCCAACCACTGTGTCTTTGTGAGACGCTGTGTGGGTGAACGGATGATCTCCGCATGTGTATTTCCCACCTTAAATAATTGAGGAGGAGGTGTTATGGTGTGGGGGTGCTTTGCTGGTGACACTGTCTGTGATTTATTTAGAATTCAAGGCACACTTAACCATCATGGCTACCACAGCATTCTGCAGCGTTACGCCATGCCATCTGGTTTGGGCTATCATTTGTTTTTCAACAGGACAATGACCCAACACACCATCATGCTGTGTAAGGGCTACTTTACCAAGAAGGAGAGTGATGGAGTGCTGCATCAGATGACCTGGCCTCCACAATCCCCCGACATCAACCCAATTGAGATGGTTTGGGATGAGTCGGACGGTAGAGTGAAGGAAAAGCATTCAACAAGTGCTCAACATATGTGGGAACTCCTTCAAGACTGTTGGAATAGCATTTATGCTTCATATAGGTAGCTGGAGTCATTTAGTAATTGTGGATGAAGTATGTATCTCTCTCTCTTTATTTTATAATCTGAACGTGGACACAGAGAATTATGTTGCACTGAGTGTACAAAGCTGTCATCAAGGCAAAGGGTGGCTATTTGAAGAATCTCAAATATAAAATATGTTTTGATTTGTTTAACACTTTTTTGGTTACTACATGATTCCATGTGTGTTATTTCGTAGTTTTGATGTCTTTACTATTATTCTACAATGTAGAAAATAGTAAAACATTAAGAAAAACCCTTGAATGAGTAGGTGTTCTAAAACTTTTGACTGGTTTTGTACATACAAAATCACTCGGGTGCAGAGCATAATTTTCCACAAAATGTGAAAGCTGATACTAGGATGGTTTCAGAAGTCTCAAATCCTCACCAATAGTGGCTTAGGTTGACAGACTGGATACATTTGTTTTTGTAGAAGTGTACAACAAAATGTACATAATGATTTTGCAAATGTCTGAACTCTTCTTTTTCATGATAATACTTGTGACATAACTACTAATACTCTGTAACCTGCCTTTATGCTTGTATGATATTTCAATAAACATGTTTTTTTTTTTTTTTTTTACAACTTATTTTCACCCGGTATCAAAGGATCACATCTTTATTTTGTAAAAAAGGTGCCAACCTCACCAGAATTCATTTCCTCCTGAAAGCTTGAACTGCCTTCTACAGACATGAAGTGAGAAATACAATGTAGACCCCCAATGCATCACAAAGAGTACATAATGTGCCACTAGATGTGCCATTAGTCTCAGTCACAGACCCAAATTATGAAAAAATACAAACCAGTAACTCTGATTTTATAGTGTTTTAAGACATATGTGGAAGTAGCCTGCCATCATCCCAAATGTAAAGAAATACAAACCAATAGCTCTAACTTTATAATATTTTAAGCAGGGGTTGGAACTTAAATTATTTCCCAATCATTTCGTTGAGAACAAACAATTTTTTTTTTTTGTTCAGTTCCTCTGTTCCGGAAGAGCAAAATAGAGTTCTGAACAGGATCGAACCAATAAAAAGTAACTGTTTATATTGTTCCTTTCTGTTCCTTTTTAAACATCTGAAATCATTATTTTTTAAACATTTTGCTCAACATTAATACATTACCTCAGTGTGGATAGAGCAGCTTGCTATGGAGTGGGCAAAGTATTTACATACATTGGACAGACAAGTCTAGGGCGCGAGATGCGACTGAAAGTTTGCTGGTGGGGAGAGAAAGAGAGAGGATGGAGGATGAGGCTTGGCTTGAAGCGCTGGGCATCTTGTTGATATGACATGCATTATCTGAATTAGGCCCACAGAATTATACCTTTCGGAGGACCGGTTTCTATGAAGGAACTTTTAATGTCTTTGAACTTCAGAGAGTTGGCTTAACGTTGGACCAAAACTAGCTAGCTAGCTAACAAGCTTGTGTGTGCAGAGCAGCACCAGAATTGAAAAAAATTTAAAAACATGTCGTACCATTTTGTAGTTACTAAAGCGAAAGTGAAACATGATAACTATGAATTGAGCTTGTAACATCAGTAGTAGGATAGTTGACTATGCTTCGGAGGGGAGGGGCAGGTAGCCTACACACACACAGTGGCAAGTTTTTTTCTGAGACTGGAAGAAAAGGCCCAGAACGTAAAAATAAAGTTATTAACCAGTTCCCATGCTTTTAAAATAAAGGTTCTGTTCTGGAACAGTATAGATAATGTTCGTTCCCGGTTACGTTTCTGTTCTTCGAAAAATTACGTTATTTTCCGGTTTTCGGATCTGTTCCCTGAACTGGTTCCAACCCCTGATTTTAAGACATTTCTGCCGGAAGTCAAACCAAAAGCTCTAACATTATAGTTTTTTAAGACAGAAAGCAAACCTTTATCATAGCATAAGCATTTTAGAGAGAAAATCCTAATTGATTCATCAATGAATACACATCTGCATGTAAGGTGAGACATTTTCTCAACCTCACTTCCTCTTCAAACAACCAATGGAGCCAACCTTAAAGTTGTGACTCCTGTGGTGCATGTAGATACAAATTTCCGCTGATGCTGTCACTTCACTTTGTCTCTTGACCCTCATCACAGTTGATTTGTTACACCAGACCAGACGAGAGAGAAGAAGCAGAAGGATGTTCAGGTTGTGTCTAGTCCTGGTTATCATCAAAGCCTGTAAGTTTATCTCATTATATGATCAATGTTATGTCAGTTTTAAAGTTTAAAAAAAGGACAACCATATCTGCAACTCAGTCGGCTCAAAAATTTCAGGGGGGAATATGATTAGGTGACCTCACACTTTAAAAAAGATGTAAACAACATAGAAGGGCACATAGAGTTACAGAACATTAAATCTCAAAAGTGTTCTACCAGGTGGGGACCTCATTCAGCCTCGAAAGCCATCCGATCTGCCGGCTGATCTTGCTAATGTCGTAGTAAATATATTTGTTATAGTGAATATGGAATATGATATGTTGAGTAAAATGTTGTGCTAAGATCTATTTAGGTCAGGAGCTGGTTATAAGTTCTGTTCCTATCCAATAACAATGGACAAAAGGGTCCTATCTTGTCAGCCTTGTCAGCAGGTGGCCAAGGACAACACCCACGCCATAGGCCTCTCAGTTCTTCCAACTCACGAGTTCTTGCTCTGAGGACACACACACACACACACACAAACACACACACACACACATCATCACTGTTAAACACACACACACACACACACATCATCACTGTTAAACACACACACACACACACACAAAAATCCCCTCTCTTAGGCTGAACATTTGAAGACAGAGAACCCGACTCAGAGCCAATGCAACAGTGACAGTAGCCTGGAGGGGACCTCGCCCAACTCATCAGGACCAATCAGAAGATCAGAACTACTAGATTCAACCTACTTCATTTATTGCATAAAATGTCTGCACAGTGCACACAATGTTTCGGGGCTCTCTTCAGATAATAATAATAATATGCCATTTAGCAGACGCTTTTATCCAAAGCGACTTACAGTCATGCGTGCATACATTTTTGTGTATGGGTGGCCCCGGGGATCGAACCCACTACCTTGGCGTTACAAGCGCCGTGCTCTACCAGCTGAGCTACAGAAAGTGGATACTCATGGATGCGCATCGCAATTGTAAAATGTCAACACAATTGGAGACACCACGTCATTTTTGGAGACATGTTATTGACAGTAAACTATTGTAGATGCGACTGCTAACTAAATAAAACATTTTAGCTGGCTAGCTAATCATCTTAGCTAAATGTGGGGCAAACAATTCAGTTATTTACCGTTAATTTGAGGGATTGGGGTGAAAGAAATCGAGTTACATAGTGATACTTTACGATATACTGTATTGACAATATCGCAATATTGTAGGGCTAGTTGGCTGTACCTGCACCAAAACACCATTATTGTTCCTTCATAGCTTGTTCTCAATCTTTTCACATTGGGAGCCAATTTGTTTTCAGCACTTTTATTTCCATGACTGATCAAAACTCGTTCTCATGACTTTCTGATCCCTCTGCAACAGACATATGGTGCGCAATAAAATCACAGTATCGAATCGCAATACGTATAGAATCATGAGACTCGCAATGCATATATCTTATCGTGAGGTTCCTGGCAATTCCCAGCCCAAGTTCATTTGCCACAACAAATCTCTTCGCTAGCAAACACGATGTCTTCTCCAAAACGGCAATGTGTCTCCAGCAATGTTTACTTTTTTGACGTTCTATGGCATCTCCACTTTCCAAGCATATATGACCACATGTAATATTTTGGTAAGTGATGCAAATAGTGAACTATGTAGGGCCAGGATGTAAAATATATGTAGCTGCAGCAATTTCTCTTATCTGATATGGTAAGTAATGGGGCTTAATGTATAGCTCCCTAAGAGTTTGACGAACGGGTCCGTGCACGCGATTCCAGATATCTTTACCTCTGAATAAACTGCCTTTATTATACCATATCCACCCTGTCCAAAGTCTCTACTTGGTCTCAGTTCTCCAGTAAACTTGTGATTATCAACACTAACCTCATCGTTGTGGCGGCGGACAGCTAGCCTGTATCCCTCATCCAGTTGAGTGGCAATGTTATTTTTTCGTTCGTACCAATTTTTGGAAAATCCTCGGGTGTAGGACTTTCCGCCTTTAGTAGAAACCTGTTGAATTATTAAATTTGGTCTGGGAGGTCCTAATTGTTTCGTTGCCAATTTATCTTCATTTGTTCGCCGACAAAAAGGAACTTCTTTCAAAGACACAATCCGCTCTTTTCTTAGTTACGTTCATGGTTACATTACGTATGACGAAAGCGCGTAAGTGCAAGCCCTCAGACACCCATAGAGATTGTATTGAAAGCTCTGAAATTTGAAAAAAATAGATTTTACATGGGAGTCTATGACAGACTTCTGGGCGATTTTCAACCTGACTGAAATCGCCCCAAAAGGGGGGGTGGCCATTTGAAGCAATTGGACATTTAGTGGCAGTGTGGCACTGTGGCAGATCAGACGTCTAGATTACAACACTGATAACTACTGTTGCCGTGATATAATTGATTAGAAAAAAAATCCCTTCCTTTTCCCGTTTGGCAGTGCGTCGCCCATATCGCCCTATTGAACAGGCCGCCCCTGTCTGCAACACTCCACTTAATAGTTTAAAGAGATCTGAATTTACAGCTATACTGTGTAAATATGATGTATTCTCTTAATCAGATGATTAAGATCTTAATTTAACAAATGTTTAGGTAGAGCACTTGCTACAGTAATATTCTAGAGATTCAATGTGTTTATTGGCCTTCTTGTCAGGTTCAGGGACCAGAAGCATGTCTGTGCTCCAGCCGCCTGTGTCTGTCAGTCCAGCCAGGAGACTCTGTGACTCTGAACTGTTCAATACACACTGAGACCTGTGCAGGAGAACACAGTGTCTATTGGATCAGACATGGCTCAGGAGAATCCCGTCCTGACAAAAAATGGACTTGTTTCATCCTGTAGTGTAAGTGATTCCCCCATATACAGTGAGGGAAAAAAGTATTTGATCCCCTGCTGATTTTGTACGTTTGCCCACTGACAAAGAAATGATCAGTCTATAATTTTAATGGTAGGTTTATTTGAACAGTGAGAGACAGAATAACAACAAAAAAATCCAGAAAAACGCATGTCAAAAATGTTATAAATTGATTTGCATTTTAATGAGGGAAATAGGTATTTGACCCCCTCTCAATCAGAAAGATTTCTGGCTCCCAGGTGTCTTTTATACAGGTAACGAGCTGAGATTAGGAGCACACTCTTAAAGGGAGTGCACCTAATCTCAGCTTGTTACCTGTATAAAAGGACACCTGTCCACAGAAGCAATCAATCAATCAGATTCCAAACTCTCCACCATGGCCAAGACCAAAGAGCTTTCCAAGGATGTCAGGGACAAGATTGTAGACCTACACAAGGCTGGAATGGGCTACAAGACCATCGCCAAGCAGCTTGGTGAGAAGGTGACAACAGTTGGTGCGATTATTAGCAAATGGAAGAAACACAAAAGAACTGTCTCCCTCGGTCTGGGGCTCCATGCATCTCACCTCGTGGAGTTGCAATGAACATGAGAACGGTGAGGAATCAGCCCAGAACTACACGGGAGGATCTTGTCAATGATCTCAAGGCAGCTGGGACCATAGTCACCAAGAAAACAATTGGTAACACACTACGCCGTGAAGGACTGAAATCCTGCAGCGCCCGCAAGGTCCCCCTGCTCAAAAAAGCACATATACAGGCCCGTCAGAAGTTTGCCAATGAACATCTGAATGATTCAGAGGAGAACTGGGTGAAAGTGTTGTGGTCAGATGAGACCAAAATCGACCTCTTTGGCATCAACTCAACTTGCCGTGTTTGGAGGAGGAGAAATGCTGCCTATGACCCCAAGAACACCATCCACACCGTCAAACATGGAGGTGGAAACATTATGCTTTGGAAACATTATGCTTCACCGCATCAAAGGGACGATGGACGGGGCCATGTACCGTCAAATCTTGGTTGAGAACCTCCTTCCCTCAGCCAGGGCATTGAAAATGGGTCGTGGATGGGTATTCCAGCATGACAATGACCCAAAACACACAGCCAAGGCAACAAAGGAGTGGCTCAAGAAGAGGCACATTTAGGTCCTGGAGTGGCCTAGCCAGTCTCCAGACCTTAATCCCATAGAAAATCTGTGGAGGGAGCTGAAGGTTCGAGTTGCCAAACGTCAGCCTCAAAAACGTAATGACTTGGAGAAGATCTGCAAAGAGGAGTGGGACAAAATCCCTCCTGAGATGTGTGCAAACCTGGTGGCCAACTACAAGAAACGTCTGACCTCTGTGATTGCCAACAAGGGTTTTGCCACCAAGTACTAAGTCATGTTTTGCAGAGGGGTCAAATACTTATTTCCCTCATAAAAATGCAAATCAATTTATAACATTTTTGACATGCGTTTTTCTGGATTTTGTTGTTGTTATTCTGTCTCTCACTGTTCAAATAAACCTACCATTTGTCAGTGGGCAAACATACAAAATCAGCAGGGGATCAAATTATTTTTTCCCTCACTGTATAATGTATGTTTAAAAAATACAAAAGTACAAACTACATGAAAAATGTATTAAATGAACAACAACCTGTGACGGTAAATGGGGTGGTAAAGTATGATTGCCAAGAAGGAAAAAAAGGTTGTTGGATGATATTTTAATTGTTCTTACACAGACTCTCTATCCAGTTAAGAGTTTTAACCGAATATTAGACAGCTTTCTTCCAGCCAGTTGTGGCAAATTATTAGCACTGGTCCACTTTTAGCATTGATTATATATGGTAAGTGATTCCCAGTTTACCTGTGAAGACCATGGTGGGCTGGATAAGGCATCGACAAAAATGACAGGTCCAGTTCAACCAATCACCAAATAGCCCACTGTTGAAGTGTTGTCTACATGAGTAGACTTCTTCCACTCAAGACACAGAGGATGACAACTTCAAAAATGATCATCACACGCTGCCTGATATTTCCACTTCTCAGGGAGATGGGTTGGTCCAACTTTTATATTTCTGTGCTTATAGGGGACACATCCTAAATTTGAAGACACCCAGGAACTTTATTGATGCAATTCATATTTGTCTTTATGTGTATTCTAGCTGCGGTACAATCCTCAGCCATGCGCCTTGTGTCAACCAACATAGGAGACAAATTGACTTTGCACTGCTTCCATGAAGGCAACTTGGCACTGCAATTCTTTTGGTTCAAGCAAACCTTGGGTGACAATCCTCAGCTCATGACAACTTTTTACAAGTATGACAATAATTCTACATTCCACAATGAATTTAAAGGCAAAGGAATAAATCACATAAGAATCTCAGAAATGCAGCTCTCAGATTCAGCAACATATTACTGTGGGAGTTCTATTTCCAACAAGGTGGAATTTGGAGAAGGAGCCATTCTCATCTGAATTAGAAACTAGAAACGAATCTTCAGCAACTATAACCTTCAGCATTTTTGCACTTTACGTTTTGAACATACAATGTCTTAATTAAATGTGAGGTATTTGCACAATCAGACATTACTGTAGCTTAAGTTTCGACAAATGTTGAGTTAGGACACAACATCGGAAACACATTTACTGACATGTAAACCTTTTTTTAAGGTTTAGGGTCCAGAAACACCACTGTTGTACAGCAAGCTGTTTCTGAGTCAGTCCAACCAGGAGTGTCGGTGACTCTGAACTGTACAATACACACTGAGACCTGTGCAGGAGAACACAGTGTCTATTGGTTCAGACATGGCTCAGGAGAATCCCGTCCAGGAATCTCTTACACCAATGGAGACAGGAGTGATCAGTGTGAGAAGAGCCCTGAGACTGGGTCTCCTACACAGAGCTGTGTCTATAACCTCCCAAGAAGAACCTCAGCCTCTCTGATCCTGGGACTTCCTACTGTGCTGTGGCCTCATGTTGAGTGATACTGTTTGGAAACAGGACCAAGCTGGACATTCAGCTTGGTCCTGTAACCTATATGGTCAATTAAAATGTACTATAACCTGATATTACTCCAATAAAATATTTATTGACAAGATTTAAATAATCAAAACCTTTGGTTTCAGAGTATGATTTTCCCCTGACTCCTACCGCTCTTGCACTGGTCACATTAAACATTGTTTTTGTGATTGTCGTCTTTCTACTGACATGGGGGATATGCAATGAAAGGACCAGAGGGCTTAAAGGTACAGAACATGCATATTAATACTTACTAACAAACTGTTATGTATTGTTTCACAGTAATGTTTGACGATGTCTCCATGTGAAAAGAAAATATACATTGAGTGTTCTAAACATTAGAATAACCTGCACTATCCATGGCATAGACTGACCAGGTGAATCCAGGCGACAGCTAGGATCCCTTATTGATGTCACCTGTTAAATCCACTTCAATCAGTGTAGATGAAGGGGAGGAGACAGGTTAAAGAAGGATTTTTAAGCCTTTACACAATTGAGACATGGATTGTGTACAATATGTGTGCCATTCAAGGGTGAATGGGCAAGACAAAAGATTGAAGTGCCTTTGAACGGGGTATGGTAGCAGATGCCAGGCGCACCGGTTTGGTGCAACAAAAAGGGGTGCAACTAAATATTAGGAAGGTGTACCGTGTTCCATTTCAATGCGATTTCTTGTGTTCTGTACTTAATATCATTTTTTACTTCCTGTTTTTATTCTGAACCATCAACTGATAGATCACCAACCCCACCAGTCAATCAGGTAAACTTTAGCACATAATTTCACCCCATATCAAAATGGTTCATGTAGTGGATGTAACCAGTATAATGTCTTGTTTATGACGCCACCTCTCGCACAGCACCAAGAGAGGGACGTTTTGAACTATGCTGCTGTGAGTTTCACCCCCAAGAAGAACTCCTCTTCCTCCTCTAGAAGAACAAGAGAGAAGACCAGCAGAGAGGATGCAGAGTACTACTTCAGCAGGAGTGAGAGATATCACCAATGTCACAAAGACTCCAAGAAGCCTTTTAAAATGATAAACTTGGATTAGCAAACACAACGTGCCATTGGAACACAGGACTGATTGTTGCTGATAATGGGCCTCTGTACGCCTATGTAGATATTCCATTAAAAATCAGCTTTTTCCAGCTACAATAGCCATTTACAACATTAACAATGTCTACACTGTATTTCTGATCAATTTGATGTTATTTTAATGGATTTGTTTTTGCTTTCCTTTTGAAAACAAGGACATTTCTAAGTGACCCCAAACTTTTGAACGGTATTGTAGGTACAGTATTATAAATTATATGTTTGTGTTTTTCTGGTCAGGAACCTTAAGAATTCCTGTCACGGATTCAGCCGAGGCTGCTCCTCTTCCTTGCTCGGGCAGGCTTCGGCGTTCGTCGTCCCTGGAGTACTAGCTGCTACCGATCTATGTTTCGGTGTTTGTCTTGTTTGGTCTTTATTGTTTACACCTGTTTCCTATTATGTTGCATTGTATTCCCTTTAAATACCCCTGTCTCTCATAGTTTATTGTGTGTGATTGTTTTTCGTGAGGTCGGCAAGCTGTTGTGTGCTAGTATTGTTTCCTCCCTGTTAGGAGGTATTTTGGTTTTGTACTTTCTATACTGTGTTCAGTAAAGTACGTCTGCCAGTAGCTCGGTGTCCTGCGCTTGACTTCGTTACCGCATACACGTCAGCCTGACAATTCCCTCATTTTATGTATGTATTTTTCTGCTTCTCAAGAGAATCAAACTGGATTGCTGAACTACATAACATTTGTTCTGGTTATTATCATTATCATTCTGATACAGAAAGCGGCACAGGTCCTAATCCAGGCACTTGTCATCTCCCGTCTGGATAACTGCAACTCGCTGTTGGCTGTGCTCCCTCCCTGTGCCATTAAACCCCTACAACTGAGTCAGAACGCTGCAGCCCGTCTGGTGTTCAACCTTCCCAAGTTCTCTCATGTCACCCCGCTCCTCCGCACACTCCACTGGCTTCCAGTTGAGGCTTGCATCTACTACAAAACCATGGTGCTTGCCTACGGAGCTGTGAGTGGAACGGCACCTCCTTACCTTCAGGCTCTGATCAGACCCTACACCCAAACGAGGGCACTACGTTCATCCACCTCTGGCCTGCTAGCTCCCCTACCTCTACGGAAGCATAGTTCCCGCTCAGCCCAGTCAAAGCTATTCGCTACTCTGGCACCCCAATGGTGGAACAAGCTCCCCCACGACGCCAGGACAGCGGAGTCACTGACCACCTTCCGGAAACACTTGAAACCCTACCTCTTTAAGCAATACTGGGGTGGCAGGTAGCTTAGTGGTTAAGAGAGTTGTGCCAGTAACCGAAAGGTCGCTGGTTCTAATCCCCGAGCCGACTAGGTGAAAAATCTGTCGATGTGCCCTTGAGCAAGGCACTTAACCCTAATTTCTCCTGTAAGTCGCTCTGGATAAGAGCGTCTGCTAAATGACTTAAATGTAATAGTATAAAATAATCCTTCTTCCCAAACCCCACATGAAAAAATAAAAAAAGGTGGTTGTCCCACTGGCTATCATAAGTTGAATGCACCAATTTGTAAGTCGCTCTGGATAAGAGCGTCTGCTAAATGATGTAAATGACAGTAACAAACATTCTCCTGTTTATGTTGTGGAGGAGAGCTCTGCAAAAACGTAAGTAGTGTGCTAAAGTTTGTCTTTGTCATGCCGTATACAACATATATGATATATGAAAGCCACATATTAATTAATATTATATCATGTATGAATGGCAAACAATAATACTCTAAAGGTATATATGTTATGTTTTTCAATTAGGAGTGACCAAGGACACTTCACCCATAGTCCAAGTGAGTAATTTTGAATTATATTTTTTGTCAGACGTTAAACTGCTTTACATTCTCATGCTTCACATAGGTAGCTGGAGTAATTTAGTTATTGTGAATGAAGTATGTATCTCTCTCTCTTTATTTTAGAATCTGAACGTGGACACAGAGAATTACGCGGCACTGAGTGTGAAAAGCTGTCATCAAGGCAAAGGGTGGCTATTTGAAGAATCTCAAATATAAAATGTATTTTGATTTGTTTAACACTTTTTTGGTTACTACATGATTCCATATGTATTGTTTCATAGTTTCGATGTCTTCACTATTATTCAACTATGTAGAACATTTTAAAAATGAAGAAAATCCTTAGGTGCTCTAAAACTTTTGACCGGAAGTGTAATTTTTCAAAATTGAATAAAACGTGTATTTTATTTCAACAGAGATGCGTTTATTTATTGAAAGTCTGAACAGCAATATATGCATCATCAACATGTCAAAAGGCTGACATATGGGCATTTTACTTTTACAATATGTCACCTAAGCTGACGAGCACTGAAACATTTGAAAAGACAGTAAACCACATTTGTGTTTGTAACAGCTGAATGATTGAGAAACTGAATCGTTGAATGAATCTATTTCCTGATGAGGTAGATGATGAAGAAGATGGTCAGACAGCAGAGGAGAAATCCAGTTCTTATGATGGAGAAGAGGACAAGGATCCTCATATCCACTTCAGTCACCACTTGAACATCACCACCTGAAAGAATGACATGTTTTATATTATACAGCACGGGTTATTACAGTGTAATAGCATGTATTTTATTTTGCCTTTATTTGATCAGGTAAGTCATTGAGAACACATTGTCTTCTACAATAACTACCTGTGTATCTCCAGTAAGCATAAGAGGTTTACCTTGATCTTCAGCTTGGTCCCTTTCCCAAACAGTATCTCCCCACATGAGGCTACAGCACAGTAGTAAGTCCCAGCATCAGAGAGGCTGAGGTTCCTCTTGGGGAGGTTGTAGACACAGCTCTGTGTAGGAGACCCAGCCTCAGGGCTCTTCTCACACTGATAACTCCTGTCTCCATGGGTGTAAATGATTCCTGGACGGGATTCTCCTGAGCCATGTCTGAACCAATAGACACTGTGTTCTGCTACACAGGTCTCAGTGTGTATTGATCTTTTCAATAATGTTTCAATGATATTCTGATTATATTCTTATTTTCAATGACATTCTGATTTAATCTCTTCAGTTTGCGTTTAAAAGGAAAGGGTTAAAAACTGAGAAGAAAAAAGATCCAATCAGGATTTTTCTTTGGTTGTCACTAGGGAGAAATTTAGCTAGATAGCTCAACATTGGCTAGGCCCTCAGAATCTCGATAGAAGGCACCTGCCATTCAACCATACTAGAGCAGAATTTTGGAGTGACAGTGGAATCAACCAATCACATTTTGACTTGTATTGGGTGGGACCGTTTTTACAAAAACGTGTGGAAACTTCCGCCATTCTCGAAGGTCGACAGGTCACCGCGCAATAGCAAGAAGTAGTTTTCCCACAGTTTAAGCTAGCTAGTTTTTGTTGTAGGCTGGTGTGTGGCGGCTGCTGTTGCAGGTGTTATTGAAGATGATGTTGATGCTAATTTGCTAGCTTCATCCTTTTCAATTTTAACCTTCAACAAGAAGTTGTTTCAAATGATCATCATCTGGTGAGTGGAACTGTTTTTGCAGCTCGATTGCTGTTGTTAGCTATCTCTTTGAAAATAATGTTTATGCGTGTGAAACATTGTTGCATTTAAATTTTGGATCACTTTAGTGTGTGTGCTTAATGTGCTAACGATGTTTGCAATAGGAAGTAATAGTTATACATTTCCATTGGGAAATGCTTAGACTAATGGTTGTGTTTTTGTGTTCTTATGATTGGGACCCAATGGCTTATTATGTCCTAGTGAATGGGCTGCTTATTCTTTAACATCATGCTGTGTGTGACAGCTGTCTTTCTATCAGCCTATGTGTTTAACAAAAAGTGTCCTCTCCTACATGGAGTGAGATGGTAAGTATTACGGTCGCTGTCCTTTCAGCATCACGAACCTGTCAAACTCACATCCTTTGATGTGTCACTGTTGTCTCTTTTGGTGATA